GCTTGCCTTTTCTGGGCGGCTACTTGCTGGTAGTCAGAAAAGCCGCCTGCCCCCGGCGTACTTGGCAAGAGTGTCCGAAGTTGCCAGGCTAACCATCGGCCCGCAAAGCCGTCACGCTCCAGTCTATCTTCCAAAAACAGCCATAAACCCTAAATCGTTGGCACAACACAATATGAACACAATGGCCAAATGTGCGACACAGTGATGTGATGCCCTCCCATGTAAGATGCATTTGTCAGGCCGCAAAATTATCCTGCAGCGTTGTCTCAGAAACGTGCCTCAGAGCATGGAGCGGCCGAGGATGTTGTATGCATTTAGGGGCAAGCGTGATTCAGAGTCCGTGGAAATTCATGCCGTTGCTGGTTTGTTGCGCTGAAGGGACACATTTGTCGTCGCCGACTCCGTGCTGGTACTGTCATTGCTGGCGCTGTCATTTTCCGTGCTGTTGCTGGCGCTGTCGGCTCTCGTTGCTGTGTTCAATGCTGCAGCCGTGGCTCTTGTGCCGCTGCTTCTGATTGTGCTGCTTGAGGCCATGCCATTTCTCCGAGTGCTCGGGGGTGCCCATGCCGGCTTGCCATCGCCAAGCCAGTGCGGTTGTCATGTTTTCCACTTGCGTGTCCTACCTTGTCCCTTGTGGGCTTGAGGGCTGTCCCCAAGCTTCACATTGCCGGAACTGTTTAAGCGAGGGGAGACGAGGGTTGTCATCACCGAAGAAAATTGTTCATACCTCTGGGCCAAAAGTTCTAGATAACCTGGACACACCCACGGGAGTATTGAAGGTCTCAGCATAAAGATATCAACAGGACACGCAGAGCAAAGCAAGCGAAGCGAGTGAGCCTATCCCCGAAAAGAGGGGCACGCTGATTCCTCGATGTGGGCAAACAAACCCTTGCGCAGGAAAATGGCAGTATGTCTGGTCGTTTGCTGCAAGTGGATGGCTGTGGCCCAGAGAATGCCCGTGTGCGCACGTATGCACGTGTGCATGTCTGCGTGAATGCATGTAAATGAAACCCGTCGTGCAAGCCAGGGCGGCGGACATAGTTTTGGATTGCTGCAGGCTCAGAAGGCTCGTGAATTTGCAGTGCAGCTGCACTCACTGATGCACTAGCATACAATGGAACGAGGCGATGCACATTTAGGTCAAGCCTCCTGCTTTCTATATACAAAAAAGGCAATGGACTGTGCTCTGAAAGCAAGGATTTGCATCGCGTGGATCCTTTGAGCCTTTCAGCTTCCAGCCACAATCCAGATAGGCCCGCCAGTGGCACGTGGCACTGGGAGTGCTTGACTGCGCCACACCTACAGGCACCTTGCAATCAACAAACAATCCAGGGATCCACCGAGGGAACACTGGTCACTTCAGGCATAGTAAAATGCATCATACATATGTGTGTGTATATATATATATATACACGCATAGGCATATGTTTTGATATGTTCATTTTCACATGCGCTGACTGTCCCTTTCAAAGACTAACAAGTGTAGTTTCTGACTGCGCTCATTGTGAGCCGTGCACTGACAAAAATTGATTTCTTCCACAGCCCAGAGGCTGCAAAGACCATCCAAGCTAAGTATGTACAAATAGCCCACACTTTCGGTCGCAAGCAGTACAACTCTGCTGGCTCCACAACTGCTTTGCGAACCGAGGTGGCGGGCCTTACCATTGCGAAAGTCCAACGCTTGCAAGCGCTCACGGAGATTCTCGAGACGTTGCAGGTCTGCGCCACCAGCAAAGCGGATTCAAGCCGGCCTTCCCAGTTAAACTTTGTAGACATATTACAGTATGGATAGTTTGTGTTACAGTCACAGTGTTACATTTTTCCGAGCGCATGGGCCTGGCGTTGGTGTGCTCGGGCTTTCGACCTGCGGGCTGTGACAGTGTCTAAAACGCTCAATCTGTCAGCTGCGCATGCAAGGCTCCATTGGTTTGCCCCAGGTAGACATGAGCCCAGGGGTTCTACTTTGAAATGAACCACCGGGTGCAAGTCTGCCTTGGCGTAATGAAGAGATGGACCCCATGCCCATGTGCCGCGTATTTTCGCCGCAGAGGAATCCATAACAGCACCAAAGACTAGCGGACGCTCAGACGAAGTGCCGAGCACACACTTGCCATGGAAGGCAAATGAAATATGGTCACACCGACGCGTGGCGTATTCATGACACATACCAGGTGGTGCGCGACTTCGAAACTTTCACCATCTCGATGCCCTTCTTGGCCTTCCACTCCTGAGATAAAGAACTCAATTGTGAACCAAGCTCGCTTCAAAAGAGATGCAGCATGAGCGCATAACTTGCGTGTATCACTCTCCTCCAGGGCAGCTTCGGCATCTGCTTGCTTGGCTTTTGGAGCGGCTTTGGTCGCCTACATCGACATCTATCACTGCGGGAAGGCCCCCAACCACAAACAACGACGGTTCATGTTTATCGCCCTGATTCTGGTGTTCGTGCCAGGATGCATCCAGTTGAGCTGCGCCAAGAAACCAAATCACTTTTTGGTTCTATTGGCATGGAAATAGATATCGACAGAGATTACTGTAATCCTTATTAAACCAGGCAGTAGAACCACCTTCTAAAGTCAATGGGGTTTTGGTGCTGCTCAGTTAGCATGTCCCTGACCAAGCCCAACTTGGCCCAGGACGTTGCTGTGCCAGACATAGAAGAGTCCTCCAAGGAAGACCACGTCCTGTTCACTGAAGGACCAAACTGAGAACAAGGTCGTTGCACCATGCCATGCCCATGCTCATCCAATCTAAGCAATTCAAGAGGTCCTGAGGCACGAAGTACACCAAAGCAGCCACGACGCACTGTGTCTGGCGCCATTGCTCATGTCGGCGATGGAAACATCTAGTATTGACATGCCTGCAGAACAGGCAAGTCGAGGAAGGGAAGACCAGGCAAGATCAGGAAAGCCCATTTGAGACAAAAAGGCAAACACACACTCTTGAGGGTTGGAACATCGTAGAATATCGTAGAGCATCATCCAGGCGAGCAAATGCACACGGAAAACTCCAGCAGCACATAGCCAGCAGTACCATCAGTCCATCATAGCGAACGGACAAAGGCCTGCAAGCGATGTTGTGCATACCATGCTGGCAGAAGTGCCCGCAACCGCTGCAACACCTGCTGACACAAGCGAGCCTTGGAGAGTACACCTGGGCAGGCAGCTCTGAAATTGTATTCGAACCAATCTAGCCCAGAGTCAGCGGCACATTTCAGTCCTGGCCTTCGTAGCAAAGCCTCGCGCCAGATTTGGTGCCGTTGCGCTCAGGCCTCAACCAAGAGCCACTGCGTTGGTCAGTGACTTGCTGTGTGTGTGTGTGTGTGTGTGTGTGTGTGTGTGTGTGGGTGTGTGGGTGTGTGGGTGCGTGCGTGCGTGCGTGCATGCGTGCCTGCGTGCGTGGGTGGGTGCGCGCGTGCGTACGTGCGTGCGTGCGTGCGTGTGTGTTTGTGTGTGGGTGGGTGTGCGTGTGCGCGTGTGTGTATGGGTAGGTGGGTGGGTGGGTGGGTGGGTGGGTGGGTGGGTGGGTGGGTGGGTGGGTGGGTGGGTGGGTGGGTGGGTGGGTGGGTGGGTGGGTGGGTGGGTGGGTGGGTGGGTGGGTGGGTGGGTGGGTGCGTGGGTGCGTGGGTGCGTGGGTGCGTGGGTGCGTGCGTGCGTGCGTGCGTGCGTGCGTGGGGGCGGGCGTGTGTGCGTGCGGGCGGGCGGGCGGGCGCGCGTGTGTGGGTGTGTGTGTGTGTGTGTGTGTGCTGATATTGTGCTGATGCCACAGCTGCCAATCTCACAATGCTCAAAGAGCTCCCGACTGCTCCTGGACGCGAGCATGGAAGCCTGGCAAGCTGACATCAAATCATTCTGCCGCGAAATCCTGCAAGTCCGAGCTGCGAAAGCGAGTAAACAGGGCAGACGACCCCCTGGCGAACCAACCGGCCAAGCCTGAACGGCTCTCCCTCAATTACATGTCTGATATCACCTACATCTCTTACGTCTGCTACGCAGGTCACATCGAGCACACTACGTTTCGTGCATCTGGCATGGCTCCAGAGCCATCAGCCTGAGGTGCTGGCAGCATTGCGCAAGCTTTCCGGCGAGCAGTCACGTGCGCAGTTGAGCCGAAATCTTTCGAATGAGATGCAGCACGAAAAAAAAGAGCCCCCAAGATCTCTTTTCACGTGGCTGAGATGCTCTGCTTGGGACCTTTGCTGGACATCAGGTCCCATGGGGGGTTTCTGCCCATGGCGCCATTTTGGAGGTTGCGAAAACATCACGCGCCAAATAACACCAGAAGCACACGAAGTCCTCGGCTGGAGGGGGGGCGCACCTATCCAGCTCTGCGGCCACCTGCTACCAGTTGGATGACCATCCCTGTCAACCCCAAGGAACCGGTCTTGCGACCATGAAGTTAGCAGCCTCTTGTTGGAAACAATAGGAACTACAGAAAAGTTGTGGCATGCGGATTTTGGCCGAGTTTCTGACACGCACGGCCATTTCACTGCTCCTCTGCAATCTTTCTGACAAAGATGATGAATGCCGTAGAATGAACTGGCATAGGGAACCACCTCAACAGTGGGTGGAAAAACTACCGCCGGTTACCTAAATGATGTCCACAGGGTCCCGCATTGAAAGTCAGGCCTAGATGCAACTGCAAGCTGGCGGCGAGCCTTCCGGACTGAAGTCCTTTTCCTCCAAGCAACCTTCCAACACCTGGCCACTGGAGGCAATTCGTGATGCGCCTCCTGGTTCTTGTCAGGCTCCAAGCTGCAAAACGCTTTTTCATAAGCTGAGCTCTAGAGTCACTATGTACACATTCCCAGTTCAATCTTTGAACTGTGAACAGGAGAGCCTGGAACCCATCACACATTACGCATCCACCGAGACACTGCACCAATGGCCTCTGCTCGGAAGGTGCAGGATGTCAACGGTAAAACATACAATGCGCTCTTTCTGAGTGAGCAAGATTTTCTTTCAGATGCGACATGAGGCCATAGTGATGAAGCGACCCACTCAATTGGGTCGAACACCCGCGCTCTTCACCATATGCCGTGCTGCACCAACCTGCGGTGACACGGTCAAACCTTGCCAATGCATGTCAAAAGGGCTTGCAACTGGCGGTCCTGCAACCAGTATGCTGCGGAAGCGTTGCTAGCCGCCGTGCCACTTAAAACCTTGACATTTGGCTCTTGACCATATCCGCAATATCGCTATTCGCGCAGCATGGCCTGCTTTTTCAAACATTCTCCGAGCACCTGGCAACTTGCCGAACCGATGATGGGAGTGATTCCTCCGCAGTGATATCGATGTGAACCTGCACAGGCAGCGGCCGCCACAACTTCACAAACGACCATGCGCGCTGCAACAGAAGGCCGCAGCAAATGAGTTGAACCAAAAGGAAACCGATTCTCATTTTGAGACGCGCCCAAATGCGTCAAATGAGGCGAACGGACACTGGATCCGCCTGGCATCGCTGGGACAAGTCTTGCAGATAGCCACTGGGCACCAGCCTGGGCGTCCGGAAACTGAGCCGTCAGGTGCGCTGTGCGGCGCTGTCCGTTTGCTTTCGCCCCGGGCGTTTGGAAGAGCAAATCGCTGGCCAGCAAGATGGGAAGCTGGGCCTTCACATTGCCTTGGCAAAAGGCCACGGAACCAGCGAGCCGAGTTTTCTGCATCGCCTGTCGAAGAGCTGCTGAGGAGCATGGCCTTCGAACGGCTTTTGGCATCAAAGCGCGACCCAAGGCCGCTGGCGCCTCCACGCGCGGCGCGTCTTCAATGGCGGAGGCCACTGCTTTCACGAGCGCCTCTAAGCTCAATGGCAGTCCGCAATATCTATCTGGACCACTGCAAAGGGATGGCCTGCCTTCAACCAACCCAGAAAAGGGACACCATCCCTGTGTGGACCCAAAAAAAGTTTCCCTCAAGCACCACAGGCCACAAACTCCATGTCGCATCGGCAAAGAGCACTCCTCGCCGTTGCCATGGCCTTCTTTCGGCCTAAGCTCATGGGATGCCTCCAAAACGTTCCTCAAAGCAACAGGCCCTCACTCACTCCTTGCGTGGGGGGGGGGTCGCTTTTGTTGATGGTGTTACAGAGAAACCCAAAAGAAACCAACCATGGGGGAGCCTAAGCGGCGCGTGGTGCATTGCGCTGGGCCTACTTCACCAGGCTATTTGTGCATCTTTCGGGTACTTGCCACACTCTTTCAAACATGCCAGCGCTCATCAACAACTTTCAGCACTGAATTCTTATGGATGGGCCGGAGTATGAGTTTGAACATCAGGGTGTGTCCCAACATTGTCTGCATAAGAACATTCACTAGCAAGACATTGGATAAGACGCAATAAGCCGTAAACAGAACAGCAAGGCGACTCAACGCATGATTGGGCAAGCAGGCAGTCTACGGACAGAAAGCAAGGCAAGCCAAGGCAATAGAAGGCGAGAACGCGAAGTGTTAATCTAGCGAGTTAAGGGTATTATTATTATGCTTTCAAACGTGTTTCGGAACATGTGCAAGGAACATGCTGCCGGTCTCCGCGCTCAAACCTGTTTGGTGCTTCCTCTTACGAGTGGCAGAAGCATTAGTGGTCTAGTGGCAGAATACCTTCCATGACGGCAAAGCTGTTGGGCCCCCCACCTGGATATCTCTGCTTCTGGTGGCTGCGGCTGCGGCTCTTTGCCGTGGCTCGCGTCACCGCGTTCGTGCCAAGTGCCTCGAGCCTTCTCTTCCCATTCTCTTTCCCGCAAGTCCACTTCGCGCTCCGAATGCCCAGGGTCGCGGTGCAGTCCATTCACCTCTTGGTTGCTAGGATCGGCCCGTGGCATGTCAATGTTGGGCTTGGGGAGAGAAGAGCTTGGCATAGCCACGCTGCTTGTCCACGAACCGCTGAGCGGTTCAGCCTGCACACTCTCACAGGTGCAAGAGCCTTAGATACCTGTAGCCCTTGCTTCACTTGGTTCACTGAGTTTCCATTTCCGCAAGCTTGGCCAACGAGGGCCTAGTGTCACTTGAGTCACAATCAAAACCCGGTAGTAAAATGGTCTACCCAGAACCATGTAAAGAGTTAAGAAGGCGGCCGCAACTATTTCTGGCTGGGACTGCTCCTTACTAACCTTCATCTACCCGGGTTTTGATTGTGGCTCACTTGGGTCCAACTTGCGAAGCAAAACACGATGCCGCCTCACTGGGTCTGAATCGCTCTTGGTCTTCCCGTGCCCTTGGCGGTTCAATGCATCATTCCCGAAAAGGGTCCTCCCAACTGGTAGAATAGAGCCAAAGCACCTGTATGCGATTCAGGTACACATTCCTTGAGTTTTCGGTGGGTGCATTGAACTATAGGCCAGGCGCGCTGTTGACTGAGTGGCTTGGCCGCGTTTTTTTGAGTTGCAGCTGACTGCCATGGCTTAGCTTGTGCCCACATCGACAACAGCATAGTCAGCAGCTGTCAGGAGTATCAGCAGCATCGGCAGACCAGCACCAAGAGCGTCAACATCCAAGCTAGGTGGTCCGTGAGGTTTGTGGACCTTACGCTCTCACCACTCAAATGCGTTGCCAAACATAAACATCCATGTCGGCATCCTGAGCCGCAGGTGATGCAATTGCAGTTGGCTTTGGCAGAGCTTTGACAAGCAGGGGGCACGAAGGTCTCCATGCGAGCACATCTGCAGTCCGCAGCAAATGTGCTGCTTTCTAAAAAGACAAAAGATTCCAACTTCGTGCTTTCTGGCGCGGCAGTTTGACAGTTCTAAGACTTGGACGTCTCTGGCTGTCGCACCAGCCATGGAGCGGGTTCCCGTGGCAACGGATTGGCCGGAACATAGCCCGCGCCCTTAGGTCACTCTACTTCCACTAGACTCGCGATGCGCAACTGCTGGCCTCTCTGATTTCACGTCGAGGGCGGCCGTCCTTGCCTGATGCATGCGCAGCTGAGACTGATTATTGCTTCAGGGTACCCCTCTGAAGATTGTTTTACAGGGAAACGAACAGGACGCCACCCTTTCTCTTTTTTTTTGGGGGGGGGGGCCAACAATTTGAGAGAAACCCACCTCTTCGTCCATAGGCTACACGATACGCACTCGCTGATCTTCGCTCTCACTCTCTCTTTCTCTCTGAAAGCAATCATGCGCTGCTGTGGACCCTGTGGATCCCTGACCAACTATCTCACCATCGATGCTCTTCGCCACAGCTATGCCCTCCATGTGTGCCCTATCAGTCTTCGACATGAAGTCCTGGCGCAGTATGGCGCAGTCCAAAGAGACGCAGCAGCCGCCCCAGTGACCAGATCTCTGGGGCTGCAAAGCTCTGAAGTCTTAGGGGCCTGGATTCTCTATGTGTCTGAAGCATTGCAATCTCACACTCTTCATAACCTGCCTGCACAGCTTGAATGCGCGAAGTTACCGGGCCGGCAACTAGAAGCAAGGTCTCCCCCTCGGGAGCAGTGAATGCGTATGCCTTCAGGACATAGCTTCCAAGCGCTAAGCCCAGCACATCAATGGCGGGACCCGGCATCCTCTCCACAACGCAGCCGCTGTAGGCTGAGGCTACCTGGTACACAAAAGCAAGGACTCACAGAGGCGCGCTCCCTGGCCTGGTCCATGATGCGTGGGTCACCCAGGACCTCCCATGGCGAAATGTCGATGCTCACACAGCGCTGAGTCCAGAGCCTCTGGCACGATGATGCGGGTCTCTCTCGGGCCGTTGCCAGGCATGCTGTCTGCAGTGCGCATAACAACCTCCCAGGTCGCTCAAGGCCCTGCTTGCCGTATGCGTGGAAGAGAACAACGACGTTCCATAGTGTCACAACGTGGGTTTGTCTCAACCCCATATAGCGGTGCCTCTCCGTTTCCTATTCAAAGCACCCGCCCGAAGGGTCCCTGAAAACAAGACACACCCATATGTTCCAGACGAAACTTCCACGCACAGACCAAGCACGCACTCAGGCCTGGATTCCTTCAAGCTTGCGCTCCAGGCGGCCTTGGTGGTCGTCTCACGTCTGACCAGACTCAGTTTTATTGTGACAGCTCAGGCAGCCACCGCAAATCTCGATCAACCGCTCACCCGGCTGCAACAGCGGAGTTGGTTCATCCTAAGCCATGCATAGATGCAAACAACATTTCCGCATCAACGGGGCACCTCGCGGATGACGTGCAGGAATGCCCCGCTGTTTTCCTGCATCTCTCGGATGGTGCGCCCACCCTTTCCAATCAGCCATCCTGCGCCGAATTCGGGAATGTTGGGTACATGAAGCTCAAGTTGGCATGCATTCTGAGTAACTGCAAAGCGCACATTTTGCAATTTGGGTGAAGCCTGCAGTGGCTGAGATGCATTGAAGCAATCCAGCCAGCATCATGTTCTGAGCATATCTTCCATGAACAACGTCATGCTGGATTGGGCATGATTCTGAATAAGAAGGTATGGTTCAGCTGCAATGTTCTTCACCACATCTCGTCATGAACCCCGACCTCCACGCAATGTCACTGGTGCAATGCACTCAGCATTTTGGTTGCCCGATCAGTCATTGACACCAAGTTCTGCTGAAGCTTCACTCGTTCTGCAAGTCACTTTGCTTCTCTAGATCCGAGTTGGAGAGGCCATAATCGCTAATAGCCCTGGCCTTAGAGATGTAGCCTTCTCGCACGTCATGCAGAACAGCTTCACGGCGACGCTTCACTGGAGGTCCAAATCCGCCCCCGCCGGCGGTTTCCAGCTGCAGCACATCCCCAGGGTTCATGGCATAGCTCATGTCGCTTTCCAATCCATCCCCTTTGCGCTTGAGTTGCAAGGCCGATGGCGTGCCGTTGCCTCCCCCTTGCCTGCCCACCGGGCCATCACGGCAGGCAGTCACTTCAGCCACCATGGCCTGCCTCGCTTCAAGCTGCCAGCGTACACCCATGCCCCCGCGACTTTGACCCGCTCCAGCCGAGTCCGAAATGAGCTCCTTGCACTTAAACAGCACGGCACCAGCCATCTCAGCAATCTCCACGGGAATGGATTGAATGCCGCTCGGGAACAATGTAGAAGTCCCATCTTTGGTCATATGAGCACCCATACCTCCGCCTTGGTTGAGGATCATCTGGGACTGGAGGTCGTCAGATCTCCACTGAACCCCAGGTGAGCATGCGGAACTCTCTGCCGGGATCCGCTCTTGCAGTGGGACTGCCAAACAATCAAAAATCAAGTCCGGCAAAAAATATGCGAGCTGCGCCGGATCAGATGCAGCATCCGCTGGTGCTGCATCCAGAAGGGAGCCAGTCTCAACCTCAACGCATAATGTGTCCCATGATCCGCTGTTGACAGGAACATCTCTCCCCAGGATTGCCATGCAGGCAAACCTGGCAAAGGATGTCGCCACGTAAGCAGGCGATCCCCTGGGACGTGTTAGCTTTCTTGTAGGTGCTTTTGAGCTCTGCCCGTCGGCAGACAAGCAGATACTCAGGCGATGCGTATCACATAGGCGGATGCAGGATGTGAGCTTTACTTCATACGTCAAGCCTTCGCGGATCTTGATGTTCCGGCTGGATTTGTAGTCCTTGCCTTGCAGTCCCTGCATATTTTTGAGAAGCGCCTGCTGCGACTCTTTCAGGATGTACTCGCTGAAGCTTTGGACTGTCAGGTGCTTCTCTGCCAGGAGTGCCAGAAGCCGGCGCCTGGCCAAGTCGCAGGAGGCAACGAGAGCAGCGATGTCCCGCGCAGCTTCGCCCAGTTGGGATATCGCACCGCGGCTGATGGTCGCAGCGCGGCTCGGCAGGTGGGTGGTTCGCGCCACTGCGGCGACGTAGGCCATGAGGCGTCCCTCACTGTGAACCGGAGACACCACCATGATGTCAGCTTGGCTTCTGCAGGCGCCAGGATTGACGTTCACAAAACAGTGATCAGGAGCCAAACTTTGAAGTTCTTGCAGGTGACCGGTTGCTGCGTGCAGCAATGAGCCTGTCAAGCTGGGGCAAGACAGCTCGCTTTGTGCAATCAACTGCCCCGACACGCTCAAGGCCCCACACAGCACCGCTCCCGATTCGCGAATGAGGGGGCAAAATGCGCTCCTGAGCACAAAGTGTGCCTGGTCTTCCATGATTGCCAGTAGTCGTGCCCAAGCCAAGCGGTTTTCAATACACGGCCCCTGTACTCCCAACCAAAGGCCATTCTGCCGAGTCGTTCTTTCGGCAACGTTCGCGCGAGCCTGCAGTTGCAGAAAGCCATTGCTGAGCAGCCAACAGTTGAAGGAGTCTGTTACGCTTGTGGTAGTGTAGGGCTCAGTGATGGATGCTGGGCCGCGCACAAGCTCGCCAACTCGCAGGTTCATGCGTTCGTAGGTGAAATGCCAGGCTTCTTCCGACTGATCATTGTGTGCAGGCCTCTTCCCACTTGGCTGTGCCAATGCTTCGTGCTCAGCATGAGACAGCATCGACGTTTCTGCAGGCTTGCTCTTCGCTCTATATCGCTCTTGTGGCCATGCCAGAGGGTCAGCATCAGCAACCACCTCCAAAGCAAACGCACGGAATTCAATCTCCTCATTCAAACAAATGAAGCCAAGCCGTGCATATTCTGTTTCGAACTCTTGCTTGAGCATCTCTGGGTCATTCGACTCCAAGTCCCGGTTGGGCAAGCCGATAGCAATTTCATGGCCCTGCCCCACCTGGATTGCTCAATACCCCTCGAAAAAGAAGAGTTGCTGCTGTTGAGTAGGAAAAATCCATCGCTTCCCAAAAAGTTTCAAGTTTCAAGATCCGACCCCCCGAAACCCAAAAGGACACCGTCATTTTTGCGGGTCCCCGTGAGAAAGCCACGCCACGTACCGGGCATAGGCCCGGCGCCGCTCCTTGGGGGGGCGCCCCGGCTTCCAGCGGGCAGCACCTGCAGCCACCACCGACACCGTCTTGTGCCAGAGCTGGCGAAAGACCGCGTTGACCTGGGTCCATGGACTTGCTGCGATAGGGAATGAGACATGGAGTGGACCCATTTAAATTCCCAGGAAACCACCTGTTGGATGGTTTATAGGGTTCATTCCCATTTCCCTGCCTATCGCACCAGCAAGTTGAGGGAAATGGTTGAAGTTTGGGCGTGGTTTCGCCAGGATATCTCCTGTTCATGCAAAGGGCGGTCCGAACACGAGCACCAATTCCCATGTTTCAAGGAAAACACACCAAGAACCCCACCATTTGGGCTCCCCGAAGAATCGCGCGTCTTTTCCCAGCCTTGGCGGGGTCGAAGCAGCTCAATGGCATACGACAGCTTTTGAGAGCTTCGAAGGCCAAAGGCGCGGAGAAGAAGCCAATGGCGCTGCCCACGCTAGCGTCCGGAGGGATCACCACGCTTCGGATGCCCAGGCGCTCGGCCAAGTGGGCAGCCCTCAAGGGCGCGGCGCCTCCGAATGCCACCAAGACGCTGCGCGGCAGGTCTAAGCCGTGCTCCAAAGCCACCGCCTGCGCTGCAGCTGCCAACGAATCTTCCACACCTTCTGCCACACATTGAGCGGCCTCTTCCACTGAGACCTGGAAGATTCGTGGTCGGCCAAGTCCCATTTCGTTCATGAATCGTGCATGTTCGGGTAAAGCAAGAACACTTCGGGGCAATGGCAAATGTGCATGTTCGGGCCTTACGCCAAACACAACTACTGCTTCATCCCATTGGATCAGTGTGGCGAACCCAAGCCTCCAGAGACTGGGCCAAGCCTTGCAGAGCAGCTCTCGCTCTGCACGGCTTCAGCTTCACCTCGCCCTTCGCCAAGGAGCCTGGCTCCAAGCGGCCCAGGACCAGGTCGGCGTCCGTGACCTCGCGCGGGAGGCGGCGGAGCAGGCAGTAGATTGGCCTTTGGTCTCTCTGGAATGTGGGGGTGTCTGTCTTTGAGGGTACCCCAGTGTTTTGTGGCTTTCAAGAAACCCGAAAGGAAAACCCACCCTCTTTGCCTTTGTTTTTTGCGGGGGGGGGGGGGTCCTAAAACAAACAAACAAACAAACAAACAAAACAAAACAAAACAAAACACAACACAACACACACACACACACACACACCCATCCACGCACGCACGCAGGCACGCAGGCACGCAGGCACGCACGCACGCACGCACGCACGCACGCACGCACGCACGCACGCACGCGCACACACACACACACACACACACACACACACTCACGCACCCACACACACACCCACACCCACCCACCCACCCACCCACCCACCCACCCACGCACCCACGCACGCACGCACGCAGGCACGCACGCACGCACGCACGCACGCACGCACCCACGCACCCACACACACACACACACACGCGCGCACACACACACACACCATGTCGTGTTGGCGAAATCTCGCAATTTTACGAGCTAGGCCGCACCGAGCGCCTCCTTGACACGGAGTGGCAACTTTTCTTCCTTTGCAGTGCTTGAATTGAATGTGAAGTGCTGGAAGAGACTTCCTGCTCTTGTCGCGTCCCCACACCATCACACTAACCACCCCACCAGCCGGTTGTCTTACAGGCTACTAGCCAGGCGTCACAATGAGAACTTGGCTTGTCGTATAGCGCAAATGCTGGATTTCGATCCCCGGAGAAACTTTGCAACCCAAATATGTGCCCTTCCAGCATTTGCAACTACAAAGCAGCATGGCAGTAGTCTGCTGCGTTGATAGAGCTGTTTGTTTGTCGTCGCTGCAGCTCTTGTTGTTGCAAATGGGGCTTCTCTCTCCCTCCCTCTCTCGCTTGGCTTGCTTCAACGCAGGTGTTCCACTCCTAAGCCAACACATGCACAGCCAAGCACTGCGAACCCGCCCCATCATTTGCAGGCCAGGCAACCGTTGGAAGTGTGCCGCCCCGGTCATAGCACGCGGGGCCAGGGTTTGATCCAGCCGACTGCGGCCCCACTTTCACATTTCCCACCGCGCTGATAGATGCGATGCTGCCGCCCCCACCACTAATTTCCACCAAATCAATGCATGGAATCTGCACCGGAAGACCAGAGTTCTTCTTGAAAAGATCTGCGCGGTCCACTTCAAACTTTCGAGTCACGCCTGCTCTTCCTCTGGAGATTGCGCATAGCTTTGCCGTGGTGCCCCCCATGTCCAGCGAAAGAACCGCCTCAGCCTGGGCCTCCCTTGCCACATTCTCCGCCAAGACCGCGCCGCCGGCTGGACCAGACTCGATTAAGCGAACTGGAAACATGGCGGCCGTGTCTGCATCCATTAGTCCACCACCAGATGTCATAAGCAACAGGGGGCACGCGAACCCGTTCTCAATCAGCACTTTCTGAGCTTCCTTCAAGTAAGACGACATCAAAGGCTGGACGTAGGCGTTGGCTGCTGCTGTGCTGAAGCGCTCAAACTCCCGAATTTCAGGGCTGACGCCGCTGGATGTGCAAAAATAAACGCCTGGAAGCAATGGCCTAAGAATGGCAACAACTCTTTCTTCATGAGCATCGTTTGCGTAGCTGTGAAGAAAGCACACCGATATGCTCTCAACACGTTCAGCCCTGAGTCTGTCAGCCAGGGCTTCCACTTCGGCCTCATCCACTGGCTCCAGTTCAGATCCATCCGGCAGGGTTCGCTGGGCCACTTCAAAGCAAAGAGACCTGGGGCTGTCTCAAAATAGGGGACCCATCAAAATTGGTGGTTTTTCTTTTGCTTCCCTTTCTGAAACCATCCCCAAAAGGGTACCCTCGCAAAAAAGACCCACCCACCTTGGAATCAGCGGTGGAGTGCATCGAGCCTCCAGGTTGTATCTATCATGCAGCCCGCCCCTTCCCATCTCCAACAAGTCCCGAAAGCCTCGGGTGGTGATCAGAGCGGCTCTGGCGCCCTTTCTCTCCTTGGTGACTTAACGTTCTGCAAAAAAGTATGTTTGCTTCCCACATGCCATTGGTCAGTAGCATGAGTTTAACTGTTTGCCGTGGTCAAAATATTCCTCCCCCAAAAGTTTGCCTTTCAAAGTCTGAGGATTCAACGGCCGAGTCTCAAGCAGAGCATTGGTTGCCAGGGTCGTGCCGTGCAGCACCAGTCTCACCTGCCGCGCTTCCCGGTGTCCGGCTTCGAGGGCCTTCAGAGCAGCCGCCACCAGGCCCTTCGCCGGAGCCAGGGCCGTGGTGAGGACCTTCACCGGAAATCTCTGGACCACTTCCTCCCCATCCTCCAGCACCGCGTCCGTGAAGGTGCCACCTCACAGGGACCTAACAGCGAGTGGTTTGTCGCAGGTAGCCACTCAACAGAAACCAAAGGCGAGGGTTTGTCTTTTGGAGGGTACCCTGTTTGACTGGTTTTAAAGGAACACCAAAAGGAAAACCGCCATTTTGGGGCGTCCCCTATTTTACGTCACGCCCAATCATATCTGTGACCCTACCCCCAAGCGTTGGTCGCTCCCACCTATGTCAATGGCGAGCCGGCAGCACAAGCGCCCATCCCAATGTGCAGATGCTAGCGCACTGGTGTCCTGAGATGTGGGAAGCTCGGGCTCCGGGATGCGATTTTGCAAAATCGGAGTCCGGTACACTCCATCAGCCTTCTTTATCTCCATGGCTTCGCTCACAGGAAAATCTGAAGCCCAAAGGCTTGGTCCCCGCGGCGGTCTACGAGCTCTTGAAAAGTCGGGGTGTGTCTTGTTTGAGGGCACCCTTCTGAGGTCGGTGTAAAGGGAAACCAGAAGGAAAACCATCATTCAGGGGCTTCCTATCTTAACAAATACCGAGTTGACCTGAGGACTGATCTCTCCATGCACACAATCTGTGTAGCGCCTGCCAGGCCCGTGTCCACCACAATCTTGGCCTGGGCAACCGCTTTCACCATGGAAAACGCGGCTTCGGCTTGCGCAACGTGCCTTGGTGCGGAAGTTTTGCGTGGGGTCCATGCCATAGAAGATGTCATGGTCTGCCGGCCTTGACTTGTCTCGCATGGACGTCTGGTTGGCTCATTGGCAGTTCAAGGCTCCAGGAATCACATCGTGCAAGCCGGTGGCGTCTGCTTTTAGGGGTACCTTTTGGGGTAAGTTCAACGGGAAACCAATGAAAGGCACACATCTTGGATGCTGCCTTGGAGAAAAGCCCACGCAACCAAAGCCTCGCTCCGAGGCTTCGGCGGCAAGCTGACTTCAGGCAAATACGCCCCAGCGCCAGCTGCCAGCTGCGCAGCAGCCTCAAAGCAGTCCGAATCGCATGGTCGCGCATGCCAGTCGAGTCTTTAAACCTGATCGCTCGAACATGTGAGAACAGGTGGGTGTGATGCTTCATCACAAATGGACCCTTTGGTGGACCATTTATGAATGTCCACAAACTGTATGGGTGTTCTCCAATGAAGGTCATGGCCATGTAGGTCATCCATCCCAAATCCTAAGCCTATTGCAGCACAATCAATAGGAGCTCTGGGCTCAACATCAAAGGCATGGATCTCGGCAAAGCTGAGATGGGTTGATGCCCCAACTTCCCCAGCGTCGCAGGGTTCACCCCCAAATGAAGTCTTCAGCATCAGGATTGGATTCAGATAAGGGCTCCACTTTTTCGGGCCTGTACTTGAAGTCCGCTGGCAGCAGTCTTCCCCGATCGGCCATGTCCTCACACAGCCACAGGAAACGTTTGCCCCAGCCAGGAGAAAAACGCTTCAGGGCAGCTTGTGGGAGTCTTCTCCTGGATCACTTTGTGGATGTTGCCCACGGCGAGAGTCACCTCATGCGACATATGGCCATGGGTCAAAATCCCGTACCCCCAGTGAACATCCCAATCCCCAATAAAATAGACTAAAATGAGTGGTGCACCTACCCTAAAATGGTATTATTGGCTTTGACCCACAGCCATATACTCAACGAGCCCTCCTTTTGGCGTGTCTGGCCTGCGCTGCAGTTCCCTCCAGGCCTGTGGCAAGATCAGTGCGTGTCTGGTTCAATGTCTACATGGGTGTGCCTCAAAATAGGGGACCCCCATTTTGGCTTCGGTTTTTCCTTTGGCTTCCCTTTAAAAAAAGACAGGGCCACATCACCCCTTCACCTGCTTGATTTCTTGTTGCAGAAGGCAAACAGCAATTGACGCCCCGAAAGTCAAAGCACCAATCCAAAAGATCCATACAGTTCTAGCCGGCTCATGATTTTGACTCGCTATACTCGCTTGTGCTGAGGCTTGCCATGACTTCAGCACGCGTCTGCTTCCATGCAGTACACAAATATGTCCAGCAACTGCGGTCGCTGTGAAGACTCTTTGGTATCTCGCTTGCCTTCGGTTCACTCAGGGTTCCGTCATTGGACCCGCCTATTGGCGTGTCTGGCATACCCATGACCTAAGCCGACATGTCACTGAACCATGAACTCCGAAGCGCATCGCTAAGCCCGCAATGTCAGCGATTCCTCTTGTAAAACCTGGAGGAATGACATCCACTTCTAAGCACCCAGCGTTTTCTTTGCCAATGCTAATCTCAACCCCGGTCCCTGCAAGAACCTCTGCAATCAGCCAAGAGTTTAGAGCAGCTTCACCATGACAGCGGCACCTCTGCAATAGTTGCACCCTTGATTCCCACCTTGCGCAAAGCTCGAGATAGACCAATGCCATGCACTTTCAAGCTCTGCATTTCCTAAGGCCCTGGCAATGACTGGGATTGCGGTCGCTGGCACTATTATGACAAAGAACCCAATCTCACTGTCCAGCAAATCCTGGCAGCGCAAGAAGCATCTCTTTGCTGTCAGTGTATCCTAAAGCACAGCGACATGGCGCGAAACATCATGAAACACGCGAACTGAGGTTGTAGCGCACCGGAGATTTTGTCGCAGAGTATATTATAGTCGTAACAAATATTGGTTCAGTGCTTATTCTCATTTCATTGTTTACCTGATTTTAGATACTTGCTCGTGGATTTGCTAAGCCCCAAGCCACAGTTTTCAAAATGGTCTTCGCACTGCCCCGTGTACTGCAAAGTATAGAACTTAGAATGATATCACGTGTAGCGTTAAAGGTATCACAAAGCTTTGATTGCCTCGACACACAAAAAACAAAACAAAAAAAAAACGTTCCTCCCTACGCGGACACAGCTTGAGCCAACGTGGCAGTCCTGTAGCTTTCTCAGCTTCTCCACCTCGGGAGTTCACAGGTCTCATGGCGGCACGCCTCTGCACGCCTGCACGCACAGACTTTTTGTCGGCGGCGGTGGCAATTCTTTTTGGGGCAACTCGGAGATCGGGAAGTTCCATGCCCTGCGACAAATGGCGAAGTTCCATGCTCTGCGACCTGATCAGAGAGGTATCCAGCCAGTCTCAAATGGGTGTCTCTTTTGAGGGTATCCCTTGTTGTTCTGTTTCAAAGGGAAAGCACGAGTAAAACCACCACTTCGAATTTCGAGGGTCCCTAGAGAAAGACACACCCAAATCTTTGCAGTTGCCAGTCTATACAGCTTCCATCGCTTCAAAACAACCTGCCAAGGCAAAGCCGCCAAAGTCATCCAAATAGCCGATTGGGCGGCCGTCAGCATGAGTAGGTAAATATCTGTCCACCAGCTCGTCTTTCTTCAGGTGTTCCAGCAAGCGCAACTGTGCACCAGTTACAAGATCACTCAAGTCATCATCATCCTTCATGTATGACTGGAATGGCTCCCGAAACTTGGATGTGAGTTTCAGCACTTCTGGTGAGTTCGACCATGGGCCCAAATAATCAAAGGCAATGATAGAGCCTTTGCCGCAGCTCGCAACATGTTTGAAGGTTGACTCCGCTACCTCCCTGGGTAAGTACATCATCACACCCTCCCAAAGAAAGCAAGTTGGCAAGCTGTCATTATAGCCTCGCTCCCGAAGCTTGTCAAACCAGGAATCTACTGCAAAATCTACCTCCACAAACGTGACGTGCGCATCATCGAGCTTGGCCTTCTGCAGAACCAGCTTCTTCTGCATTTGCGTGCCTCTTGCATCTACTTCAAAGCATTGCACTTGCTCCGGCAGCGACAAACGAAAGCACCGCGTGTCAAAGCCAGCACCCAAAACTACCAGATTGCATGGCACTCCCGCGTTCTCTCGCAAAAAGGTGGTCGCGACGTCATCCAACCAGCAAGTTCTTGCATGCAAATAAGCAATCTCGCCAAAGCGCATCGCGCTCTTCTGGGCCATCTGGTCCGCCAAACTGCGCCTGGTCACCCTAAAATTCACTCGGGCCAGGAAAAGATAGGCCCGCGTCCAGGCAGTGCTGCCCCATCTGCCGGGCCCCAGCAGTGAGAGCTCACTCATCAGGCGCGGTGCCACAGCATCCGGGCCAAAGCCCAGCAGCGCTGCTTGGGAGCGAGAGCTCAAGGCCTTGATGGCCGTCAGTGAGCCGCCCTCTTCGGAGGAGCGGTTCACCTGGCTATGTGTCAAAGCCCCCAAATGGTGTTCGCCTCTCTTTTTTTTGGGGGGGGGCCATTTAAACCAGCCTGAAAGGGGAGGCACCCTCCAAAAAACACACCCCCACCTTCTTCCCCTTCAGGATTCCCAACCAGCAAGGGAGCAGACACAAGCCATGAAGCGCGATGTAGCAAGTGATCCCCGTACCGGTGATGGCAGACGCATAGCCCAGCATCACGTCTTTGCCGCGGCTGGGCATGATCACATCCTTTCGCTGCTTTATCAGAGCTTTGCTGGCAGATTCTGTGTACATGTGCACAAACCCGGAGCACTAGCTTGGCAAATTCCTTTGCCGGCTCGAACAAAACTGCTGCAGCTTGCGTCTTCTGGCCGTGAGATGCAACACACGTTCATGTCGCTTTAATGTCAGGTAGCAAGCCACAGGCATGCAAGTCATGAATCATTCTTTCTGAGCACTGCACGATTCCTAGACAAGCGCGCTCCTTCTGGTCTGCCTGCGACTGATAGAGCTGAAGGAGATGTAGACACATCAAGCCCCCTGCCTGCCCACTGATTGTTATGATACGATCACTCAGGCGCTTGGGTGTGTCCCGATCACCAGAAACGTCAATCATGGCGCCGGTGCTGTTGGACCTGATAGCATGGGATCTGGTGTTTTAGCTTCGCAAGGCAGACTCAGAGACCCAGGCAGCTGGGTCAGGATCTCATTGTTGTTGTAGGTGACAAAGTCAACCGCCTTAGCTTGCGGAGTTGACAAATCCATGCACGCCTGTTTGCTTGCCTCGTGAGGAAGGAGGCATCTCCACGGCACTGGGAAGTTCATTGCTCTATCCCTCCTGGAGGCATGTTGTGTGGACTAGGTCCACCTCCTCAAAGGAATCCTTACTTTGTCTCATACCAGCAGTGACTCGAGCATTGAGCGGTCGCGCGAAACTTGGCTTTTAGACATTCCGCAGGAAAAGTGGACGTCCAGTCTTGAACACGTCTGCAAGATCAGTTTGCCTGTGTTGGCATTGCTGTTCTTTGCAGCTTGGGCCAGAGTCTGCCCTGCGCATTCGAAGCCCGGCAAATGCAGACTCTGGTGTCTTGCCAATTCTGGATGGGCCTGTGCATGGCAACTACCTATCCAGTCTGCTTAGGCAATATCGCCGGAAGGGCATTCCATGAGCTATCGATGGCTATCATGACGAAGTCATCTGGCTCCGTGTCCTGTCGACCAACGTCGTGCATGTGCCATGGCAAGCTCTGTGTCCTCGTTCTCCTGCATCACGCTGACCTGACCCCACTTCGAACCATCAAGCTCAAACAAAACTGCTTCGCTCCTCAATCCAAGCCGGATCATTGCCGTCCACATCTTCCTGAAACAATGCATGAGTCTTATGAACACAAACGAGACTGGCGCGAGAGCAACTCTCAACTAGCAAAGGCATGGCAGGCCTCACCAGAACTTTGTCCTTCTTGAACCTCCTTTCCTGGGTCGTCACCTCCTTGTTCTGCCTCCTCTGCTTCCTCTTGTTCCTCATCTTCCTCTAATTCATCGTATTCTTCGTACTCCTCGTATTCCTCGGGTTCTTCGTATTCCTCGTGTTCCTCTTCCTCCCCTTGTTGTGCTTGCTCCACTCGCTCTTGTTCTACCTTTTGCACCTGTTCCTCTTGTTCGGCCGCTTCCTCTTCCGCCTCGCCCAACCTCAGGTGGCAGAAGCCGGTGACGATCAGCGAAAGAAGCTACGAGATTAGGACGACGGGGCTTGATCCAAACTCAAGCACGCCTGGCAAAGGCTTGGCTGACACACTTGTTGCATAACCAAAGGCCATTTTGGTGAAGTCAAGATGGGCGTACTAAAGATCGGTCGTTGGCAATGTTGGAGGCCTGGGTTCGCATCTTCAGAGCTTTTGAAGCCATCTCACATCATGAGAATCGCGCTGCAAACCAGCAAGCCGCTGTCATCAGCATGTTTTCAGTGTGACGCGGTTCATTCCTCTTCACCTCCCACCTGTCAGTCCAAGTGCAGTCACCCACACTGCAGCCCGATTCACCAATTCACAGAACCTAGGACCATCCCCGGGCCTACTTTTGCAGGGCCATCGCCGGTATGGGCATTCCTGGCCCCACGAAATACACCTCCTTGAAACCGATCCATCAGTCATGGAGTCAGTGATGGGACATGATGCCTTTGACTCTGACAAGGACCACATGGTCATCGGTGTCTGAACGGTCGACCAAGCAAGGCAAAAGTCTGCCTCTTCCCTTGGAGATCGGGCTGCTGCCGGCTGCACAATGTGGCCTTCAAATGGCCAGATGGGTACAGATACGGGCGCCTCTGAACGTACATGCACAAACATCAAATGTATGTATAAGTCTGCCGGCACATAATTACACGATCATATCATGTACATGAACATACAGCATAGTGAGGAGCGAGGTCCTCCCATTTGGATGTTGGCGAATCTATATTGCAACTGATAGCTTGATACGTAGCATATGTCATCCTCTTAAAAGTAGTTGGATGGTGAAAGTGTCACTGTTGCTATGCATCCAAGACGGGTGTTTTTCTTGGCCTTTTTGGGCCCGTTGAAAGAAGTAATAAAGGAAACCCATCATTTTGGAGATCCCCTATTCCCCCCCCATATGCACAAGGCCGCCTCGATGCTTTCCTCGGAAGACTGTTCGGCGCTCCTCACGCTCAGCCAATGCAAACAAAACAAAAACATGCCTTCCTGGAGTGTTGGGCCGAACAATCTCGGCGCCACCGCATTTGAATCATAATCATAATTACAACCTGGTATAAAAATGGTCTACGCGGAACCATGTAAAGAATTAACAGGCTGAATAGCGCGAGACATGCTCGCTGATCCTTTCGAAAGGCGCTTGTCCGGCATTGTGAAGAGCGCTTCGCTTGTGACGTAATAGTGTATTTCCTTGCCACACCAATTCACAACCACCAACTCTAACAACCTCTAGCGCTGACTTGCCCTCGCCTCCTCCCACAAACAATTGGGTCTCCCAACTCGCTGATTCTCGCCATGTTCTAGTTCCAGGTTTGCATTGCAACATACACTTCTGATTGGATCGCCGCCATCAGCCACTCTGATCTCTGCTGTTAGTTTCCGTCTTCCTTGCTCATAGTTCTCTGACAGGCTGATCCTCGCGCCTGTTCATGGACTGAATTGCCTCTGCAACCTGCGCCTGCGCGGTAATTAAGCTAGCTTGCATGTCTGTGGCAAACTCTCTATTCCTCCCGGGAAACAAGCCACATGGATCGCTAAGATCACATCACCCACATGGTCAAAATGTGTGGTTACCGAACACAGGCAGGGTCCTCCAGCTTTTGTGGAAAATTATGCCAGTGACCCCTCCGGACCATACACTGCTTGATGCTTGGGATTGCGGCGATCTGTCCTCCAGCTGCATGGCTTTGCCAGACTTTGCTGGCCTGAAGGCTGCAACGGGGTGCCGACTTGATCAGTGGCAGCACCCCAAGCCCTAAGGATCGGACATTGGTAAGTAGACCAGTGACTTGTTTCTCTCAAACAGAGGACTGACCTGCGCAGAGAAGATGCCAAGAGTTGACCAGTTGGAAGGGCACCTGGAATCCGCATGCCAGCAACCACCTCAACATCAGTTTGAGCATCGAATTCTGGGGATGAGGGTCTCTGACTCAACATGTCCCAGTTGAGGCAAAGACTTCTTGAAGCTCCCGTCGTTCCGCTTGTCGGGCAGAAAAGGCGTTTCCTCATGATTTCGGACCACCTGCGCCGCGAGACTTTCAGAGCGGCCTTGTCAAGTGATTGGAGGAGCCTCGTTGAAAACCACGGCAAACTTGGATGACAAGCTGTTGACCTTCAAAACTGCAAAGTCATGGCCGCACTTGGCCGGCTAAACCGTTGACTTGAAAGGCATGGGTGTTCAGTACGACTGACTGAGCCAGGATCCTCTAGTGGACATAGTTCTAAAATATCACAGATGTCCTTCACCAAGTCTGCCTTCCGAAGCTTTGCAGGTCGACTGAGATGAACTGCATTCGGATTCGGGCTGTCTTTTTTGAGGGTACTTCTGTTTGGCTTTTTTGAGGGTACCCCTGTTTGGTTGGTTTTGTTCTGCTGGGAAAGCAAAGGGAAAACCCCGCCCATTTTGGGGGTCCAAGCTTTAAAAAGACGAGCCACCCATTCCGAGATCGGTCTGGCGAACCGCAGGTCTCTCGCCTCCCCGGGTACGCCATACACAGGCTGAGGCCTGCACTGGCGTCCCACAGCTTCCCCAAAAAGAACGAGCCAAAACGCTCCCAAAAACAAGACACACCCACATGGGTATGGCTCAAAATACAAGAGCAAGGGTGACGCATGTTTTGGTCTTTGTTTCCAATTTTCCTAGATGCCATGTTGGGTACCTTTTTTTGAGTCACACCCACATTGGCCGGCCGGCTCGGTGACCCGGTGACTCCTGGAAAAAGCCGCTTTTCCGCTCGCGTTGCTCGCTGCTAGCCGCTCGCGCATGTTCCAGCTGCCGAGAGCCGCTCACCTGGCCAGCCCTTCTTACCATTCGCGCCTTAAAATCTCTTGGGTGCATGGAAACCGCACAATATCACACCATGTCTTCAAAGAAGGCCATCCCCCCGCATTCTCCCCGCTGCAATGTAAGGAAGCTTCCCTTCCCCACCACTTTACCAGACAACTCAGCACGACCTCGGCTGCTTCCGAGGCGCAAGACCGAGCTGCTCCGCCAAGCCCTGGGAACATGTGGCCATGGGTCACAATCCCGTACCCCCAGTGAACATCCCAATCCCCACTAAAATAGTTTGGTGGTTTTGGAGCCCGGTTTGGTCAGGGGTGGTTTTTCCACTGATCCTCTAGAACCAGCATTCAAATCCGCAAGCCACCAACCCAAACCACTATTTGAGGGGTGCCTGACCTCTTGCTTTTGGTGTGGCCTTTTTGGAAATGACTCCTTCCATAGACAAAGACCTTGGTGCATCAGAAACCCTTGCCTGCACGCTGCTCTGCACCAATTGGCATGCCGGCCTGTCAAGGTTTGGGCCATTGCCAACCTCCGTTGCCACTCGGCAGAAAGTTCAGCAAGGGCCATGTTTTCCCAAATAAGAATCAAGCAGCTTCTTTGTCCTGCGTTTCTTTAGCATGGCGCACAAAGCTGGATGAGCCAGGTGGGCACCAAGCTGGGAACATGACATCTGGGCATCGCCCGAAGGTCCAGTCCCAGTGTTTTCCGATTGTTTCCGCGTCCCTACCAGCGCGTTTGCAAGCTAACTGGTCTCTGGCGAATTCGATCGCCTTCCCTTTCCAGTGCGCCCTTTCTGATGCTAGCTGGGTGATTGCGCTCGAGCTCGCGAAACTCAGGCGCGGCATCTCTGCGGCAAGCTTGCAGCGTACCAAGAACGGCGCACCAGCAAAACCTTTGCCCCAACTTGCCCGCCAGCCGGGTGTCTTTTAAAATAGGGAAAGCCAAAAATGGTGGTTGTCCTTTGGTTTTCCTTTGAAGCAACCACAAACCAGGTGGCTTCAGAAAAAGACAACCCCAGCCTGAAAGAACATCATTTCGTCCTTGGAGTGCCACAGGTGGCTTCCCGAATCCGAAAAACTGCCATCTTACTCAAGCCAGAATATCCCTTTGTATGCTACTTTTTATGCGTGGCAATGCAAGTTCACAGTGGGACAGTGATCCATGGCATGTCGTATTACACCTGCTTCTTTTCCAGCCATAGCTGCCGGCTGCCGTTGCCCTTGGTTCACTGTATGTTGTCCCCTCTGAACGGCGTTGCCGGCTATCATCCTGAGGCCCACAAAGTTGTCAGCTTTACAAACTGCCAGCCCTTGGCGCCAGAGGCCAATTCAGAGATTCAGCTGCTTCACAACATGCCTATTCTACTCGAAGCCGCGTGGTAGATCTAAAAAAGTAACGGACGATGGACAAGTCCAAAAGTAGATGACTCGGTACTTGGTGTCTTCAGGACCTTGAGGTCTGCGACACGCCCACAGCCATGGTGAAGGCGGCAGGCGTGGCGCCCCGCCTGTGTCCAAATGCCGTCTTCAAGGCTGCACGAATGAAGGCGTCGTTCAAGGCATCACCTTGCATGTGAGCGGACAATAACCTTGTTCCCTCAGAGGACTTGAGAAGACTTCGTTGTCCTTTTTGCTTCTCTTGATTGTTTCTATGGTTTCTCTTTTTCTTTTGGGGGGGCAATCCCCAAACCAACGGTAAACCACCGACAATATTGTCCGTGACCCATATGGCTGACAATATTGATCAGTTACTCATACGACCGAAGTCTGCGGAACGCTGAGGCGCTCATGGTCGCACGCCCCAGGTTCTCAGGCAAGTCCCGCAAATTCACAAGATCCTCGATGCCGGAAATGCGAGAAATGAAAGGATCCAGGTGCCAATCAATGCCAGATGCTAGCCAATTCCAAGCAAATCCCAGTGCCTCAGCCAGGTAATTGTGCAAGCCTGGCTAGCAAAAACACATCTGCACTGCAAAACGACACACCAGCCTGTTTGGGTGACGTCTCTCAGATTTGCAAGTGCTGCAGTAAACCTACGGCTTCCCGCTCAGACCCAAAGTCTGCAAAGAAATCCAAGGATGCCACCCACCGCTGGGCACGTGAATCCGTTCCTCTTGAGGCCCATTCATGCTGTCCTCGCTGGTACATTGCTTTCAAGAAAGAGTTCACATCTTGCTGGTAAGCAACTAGAAGGACTTCTGCCATCTGCTGATATCGGCCTCTCAGAGTTCAATCCAACATCCAAGGCAGAAGATGGGTTCCACTGTGTCTTATGCTCAGGACTCAACCATCGGGCTGGGAGGCGACTGCTGGCAAAGCAGCACCAGCAACGACCTTGTCACCATGCATCGCAACTTTGCAGCTGCGAACACTTGAGGGCTCAGCCGCGTTTGGCCGTATGCGCCAAATGGCCAGAACCTGCCATGAAATATTCAACTCATCATAAACGTTTCAGGCTGAACACTGCGAAGAAACTTCGCTGAAACTTCCGACACCGTGAGAAGTAAGAAAAGACTCAAGGGCGCAGAGATGCTTCTGTTATCCAGACTGGTCTGCAAATACGTCCTCCAACTCCTCACCCTCAATCAATCCGGCGCCAAATCTTTGTGGGTCTCAAGGTTGGGAGTTTGAGGGGTGGGGATTTGCGAGAGCAGCTGAGGTGAGCCGTCACGTGCAAAGGTCACTGGAGGGTGGATTGACATGAGGTTGCAGGGGTGGCAGCTTCAGAGGCGGACAGAATGCAGCAAAAGTCAGGTGCATCAGCATGAACATGCAAGCACCACAAGGCCACATTTACTTGCCCGGAACATACGATGTAAAGCTGCCGTGCAAGCATTCCACAAGCAAAGCCCGGTACATGGAAGCCTTGGAACAGTGCTATCTAGCAAAGAGTTACACAGAATGTCAGGGACTAGCAGGCCTATAGCATTCTGTCTCCATCAAGAAGTTCGAAGTGCACGGCCAAAACGAATCTGTGTACATCTGGCTTGACTTTGCATAAACGATTCCCAGCATCCATAGGATGCTCCTCTTCTACGACAGAAAAAGCAACTGGCAGTGCCTTTGCCCTACGCCCCTTTTTCTTTCAACATGCGCCTTACTTGACTTCAAGCGGAATCGGAGATACTTTTCTGGCATGAGAAGGTAGGATGAAATGATCTGTGGGTCCCGAAGCAAGTGATCAACCTACAATCCCAAGAGTCACCTTTTCTGCGCTGGCGAGTTTTCGGCTAAGCGCTTCCGTCGTCCGGCTGCAGCTTCCTTTTCTTGGCATCACCTGACCAGGAACTTTGCGTCAGCAAAGCATCCCCAGTTTGTAGGAGCAATGAGCACACAAAAGTTCAGCATAAAATCCGAGCGCATGCACTTCAAAAAGCTGCCCTGTTGGAGGAAGCCTGGAAATCACTTGGGCTGCAGCGGAACACAAGCCTATTGGTTTCAACATCTGCCAAAAAAAAGCGAACTCCAGGTTCCGATATCTCGCAGGTGATCTTGATATTCGTGGGCAAACAGACCGTCATTCATTCAACCACTATCTTGCTTGCTACAGTACTAACCCTGTTGCCGCCCTCGGCTTGGTGCAAAGGGGAGTTCTTCCTGTTCAGACACACACACACACACATATACATACAGCCTCCTCTTGAGCTACGGCTGCCAGTCGCTTGTTCAGCCTTGGCTAACGGCCATCATTTGCAGCTGAACAAGAAGGAAAACATGTGAGCCTCTATTCTGCGCCAAGCCACGTGAGCATCTTCCAAATCCAAGCCTTGGATTCTGGGCACCCCACTAAAACATCTGTTTCCTGCTCTGCGGCCCCGACTTGGTCCAGGTAACAGTCGAAATGCTGGTGCCGTCCACTCCTCCGTGCAACTCCGCTCTCTGAAATGGCAAATGGCAGCCCCAATCCAAGCCTGGCCAAACACTCCGCCCTGCTTTGGCACAATACCTGGCTGTCACGCGAGACCGCAGCTCAATAGCACTGGCACCAGAAAAGCCACTAAGCCACTGGGGGAGTTTCTCAAACTGGTGGACCCCTTTGTTGGTTCAAAGGAAATCCCGCAGTACTGGCCCTAATTGAGATGCACCTGATCTTTCAGACTAGATGCACTGTGCATGAAAAAGCTATGAAAGAGCTATGAAAAAAGCTATGAAAAAGCTATGAAAGAGCTATGGAAAAAGCTATGAACAAGCTGAATACCTGGAAACTGTGTGGCCCTGTGCGTGGTCGTGTGTGGGTCTCGGGGCCCATTGGCACGAACCCTCTGCGAACTGTCGGGGCTTCGGCCTTCAAAACTTGTGGTTTTCACAAACGTTGTTCACTTTGCTCGCGCGACCCTCTTCGCGGTTTGGGCGGGTCCAGGCTTGTTTTATCAACGTTTACTTTGCTTGCAAGACCCCCGGTGCACTTGGGGATCGTCGACCTTGAAAACTTGTGGTTGTTTAACGAGTTGGAACGCTAAGTAGGCACCAACCTAGCTGATTTAGCTATCTACTTGGCTCACCAGCTCACCGGCCAACCGGACAAGTGGCCAAGTACACTAGCTAGCAAATAGGTAGAAAGAAAAACGACTCACAAAAATCATTACAGATAGGTAGATAGGTAGATAGATAGATAGATAGATCGCTAGATGGATATATCGATTGATGGATAGATGGATAGATGGATGCATGGATAAATAGATAGCAAAATCGATAGATAGATAGATAGATAGATAGATAGATAGATAGATAGATAGATAAATAGATAGATAGATAGATAACTAGATAGCATAGATAGCATAGATAGCATAGATAGCATAGATAGCATAGATAGCATAGATAGCATAGATAGCATAGATAGCAGAGATAGCAGAGATTACATAGATGGCATAGATGGCATAGATGGCCATAGCAAGAATAGCATAGATAACATAGATAGCATAGATAGCAAAACTAGCATAGATAGCATAGATAGCATAGATAGCATAGATGGCATAGATGGCCATAGCAAGAATAGCATAGATAGCATAGATAGCATAGATAGCATAGATAGCATAGATAGCATAGATAGCAAAACTAGCATAGATAGCAAAACTAGCATAGATAGCATAGATAGCAGAAATAGCATAGATAGCATAGATAGCATGCATAGCATAGATAGCAGAAATAGCATAGATAGCATACATAGCATAGATAGCATAAGAAGCGTAGAAAGATAGACAGATAGATAGATAGATAGATAGAAAGATAGATAGACAGATAGACAGAAAGATAGAAAGATAGATAGACAGATAGATAGATAGATAGGATAGGATAGGATAGCATAGCATAGCATAGCATAGCATAGCATAGCATAGCATACGATAGGATAGGATAGGATAGCATAGGATAGCATAGGATAGGATAGGATAGGATAGATATGATAGATAGGTAGGTAAGTAGGCAGGCAGGCAGGTAGGTAGGTAGGTAGATAGAACATTGACTAGACTGGTAGAGGAGCACGTAGATAGATTTGTTTAAACAAACGAGATAGTTGCGTAGACTGAAAGACTTCAAGATAGAAAGGTAGGACGATATAATGACAAGTGGATAAATAAATAGATTTAACGTAGAGTTGAGTGATCCGACCCGTCCACAAAAGCTCATCTCTTGGGTGTTGAGTATTCAGGACAGCTTGCCTGTTGCGCGCTTTGCAGCGTGGAACGCTGCTACGTGTGATCGTGAAGCCACAAGCGACATTTGACGAAAGCGGCAACGCGCACATTCAGCGTTGGCAGGTTGTCTTTCACGTTGAAGCAGACGAAGCGCATCTCCAGCCTTGCCTGGAAAGAAGCTAGACGTCGATGGCGCTACCACAGGTGCAGACCTCTTCAAGAAGGCGGCAAGAGGCATTTGCATCCCCCGGCTTCAGAGCATGCCCCAGCTTCAGAGCATGAGCGAGCTGCCACATGCTGCTGCAGGCCGCGACAACGCCGGCACGGTGCGCTGTTTCGGGCAGCGTGCAGGCGCAGAGATGGAATGAAATGAATGAGCGAAGAAAGACAAGAGAGCCTGCAGCCCGGAGTGTTTAGGCGTGCTTTTGAACCAACAAGAAACAAAGCAGAAAAAAGAGAAAGAGAAAGACCACTGCATAGAAGGGGAAACGAAGCGTGCTCCAAACTAGAGTTATTATTTTTGTTGCAACGTCCGACCCCCCCCGGCTCCGCCGGCTTTACTTTGAAAAAACTGGATGTGCCCCAAAATGGTGCTGTTCTTTTTGGCTTTCCTTTAAACCACCTCAAAAAGGTGCGCCCTCAAAAGAGCAACGCCTCCAGCGGCTCCGGCCGCCAGCGCACAGGCCATGGTCGCCAGGGCCGCTCGGGCGTAGGGGTCTTGGGCCAAGGCCACCATGGCCTTGGGGAAGGTGTACCTTAGTCTGGGATTTGAACTCCAATTCGCCCTGCAAAAAGTCTCTGAACGCGAAGCAACTGCCGGTTTCACCAAGTGCAGCTCCCAGTGTCATGTTATTGTTTTGATCATTGCCAACAAATGGTGCGGCCTTAGACACATCTGAATTCTTAGGGGAAGCTTTCTAAGTTGTGGGGGAGGCTGGATGGCAACCTTATGTTGGATATCTCTCGTCATGTTGCCAAACTACCAGTCATAGACATCTTCTGGATCTTCAGAGTCAGGAACAAAGCCAGCCGGTGGCGGGTTCACGGCGTAGAGCGCATGTAGCAGAATCGGCATGCCAGGGACTGCCACAGTCACAGGAGGCAAATCCAAAGCGCGGATCTCCTCGGCCTCGATCTCACAGAGATCTGACACCACTCGAATGGATGCATCCGCGGTGGATTCTTGCCTGTCTGCCGCTTCCCAGGGCAAACGCATGCCCTCCCACTCACCAGAGAGAGATCGGATGAGAACACAATGATCGCCTCGTAGGATCAGACCACCAACAAGTTTGTCTGGACGCTCGGCATCTGCACATTCGGTGCAGTCTGAGTGTTCGTGTCCAGCATTGCCTACAGGCGTGCAGCTTTACAAAAGTCATCCAGTTTGGGACAAGCAATTCTGTTCAGTTTCGCCACTACGGTTCACTCTTTACTCGCTTAACTTCCTGGTTGCCTCAATTTCCTTCAACTCCACTCTTGTGTCTTGGCACTTCACCAAAATGTACTGCAAGCTTGCAGCTTGTTGGATGCTCTCCCTCCATTTGGTCACATCTCATGGACCCCACATCCACCATGAGTTTCAATTCACAGTGTTTCATTCCGACTCGTTGTTGAAAGTTTATGGCACTCGCACGTAGCCGCCAGCATTTTTTGAACCCCAGCGCCTTCGACTTCGGCAGGTTCATGCCCGTCACCGCTCATGCAGGACAAGGGGGGTGCGCTCGAGCCCCGGCTGACTGCAAGCGATCAACACCCGGACCTTCGTCCATCTCCATGGCCCACAAGCGCCAAGCCCGTCCCTTAGCCCTCCTCAACACCCAACACCAACCCCCACCAACCCCCACCATCCTCTCACCCGTACCAACTCCAAAAAAAGTCGGCCCCTGTACACATGTGCTTTTCCGAGTCAGGGGTCGCGACGGGATTTCTGCCCAAACACCAGCGTGGTCCAAACATGCTTCCAGCTGCTCAAGAATCACGTTTACTTCTATCCAATTTAAGGACCATGAAGAAGAACTTCAGATTCAAGCACTCATGATAGGTTACCCGGAAGTTCCCAAAAGCCAAACTTTGTAGTGAATAGACCAGCTGTCCATGAATCGGGGAAAGGGCTAAAGAACTAACTTACTCCGAACCAATTTGAACGTGCTCGTGTTTGTTGAGGGTACCTTCCTTGTTCAGGGTATTTTGGCAACCCCAAGGGCACCCCATTTCGAGGTTCCCCTAAGTGAACCACCCTTGGGCTTTGGGACTTTTTAGGCCAAACCCACACACCCCAACCACTTCACTTCTCTATTGCCTTCCCCCCCTGTCTGTTGTGCTTCGTTTTGGGTGCCTCCGCACTCCCAAATCCCTGCGCCCCCCCACCCCCACCCAACGCCTCGCCCGCTCGCAACCGCTCGCTCGCAACCGCTCGCGCCTTGAGGAGGTGCAGCGTCTGCTCCCAGCGGTGCGCCTTGGCGCAGGCGCTGAGGCCGCAGCTCAGCGCCGCCAGGTCGACGCCGCCCGACACGGCCAGGAGCCCCAGGAGCCGCAGGCAACGCGCCCACTGCCTGGGGACCCGCGGGGAGGCGATTCTTTGAGGGAACCCTTGGGTTCGGAAAGGGAAACCAAAAGGAAACCACCACGAAAATGGGGGGGGGTCCAAATCCCTAGGACCCCACATTGATTTTTTGGAGACACAGAGACACAGCCAGGGAAGGCAAACAAAAAGGATTGGAAACGGCAAGGCAGACCAAAAATCACACATTCGGGACAGGCTTTCAATTGGCAAAGAGTACAGTAGATGTTGTGCTGCTCTGAAGGCCAAAAGTGGCCCTCCATATCACTGTGAATTAACTCTGCAATGAAAGGCTGGGCAGAAACTGGCTGATATTTTGGCACTAGAGGAAGTTGATGTTGGGCTAGTTGGGGCAACCTAGAGCCAGAATGTGGCATTATTTATTGAGTGAGGAATCCAACAATGCCTAGCACTGACGGGGGGAGGCTGCACAGAGTGGCGGCCCTTGACAAAGAAGTGCAAAACAGAAATTCCTTAGGTTGCACAGGGACATGAACATGGCAAACCAGACTGTCAGAATCGGTCAGGCCAATCCACTGTCAGCCCAAGTGCTGGCCCTTCTCCAAGCTGGACATGACCGCTCCAAGCATCGTAGCGTCTGGAACGATCCGCCGCTGCATGGACTCCTGCAAGAGGTACGTAGCTTTGGGCCACTGCACTCCGCAAGCGACTACGGCAGAATGCATGGAGACCAGACTCGGCCGGACCTGGCTGCTGTGCCCTTGCTGGAGAAGTTCCAAGGCTAGGCGCCAGTGGCTTTTCGTGCCAGAGATCAGGCTACCAAAGGTGATCTCATCAGCTGCAACCGCCCCCTGCTTCATCTCACGCAGCAGTTCAATCGCCCAAACCCAACGCCCGACTTTGGCGCAGGCGCTGATGGCAGTGTTGTACGCCGTGAGGTCTGGCGGTTCCCACGAAGTCTCGTGGAAATAGTACAAGGCAGCTTTCCAGAGATGGCACTTTTCCAAGGAACTCATGAGCATGTTGTGCGCTGTCCTGTCAAGCTGAGGTAAGCTTAACTTCTGGAGAAGTGGAAGAATCATGTCAGGTTTGTCTTCAGAGAATATGCTTGCACTCGATTTGAAGGTGCCCAAATTTGGCGCTATGCGCAGTCTCTGCATTTGGTCCAGTACGCACAAGGCCCAGGGCCAAGCAAGCTGGTTTCGCAGGGACATGATGATGGAGTTGAAGTTCGCCACACGTTTCGCCATGTGCAAGGCGGCCTCCACTTGTCCTCCCTGCGTCAGAGCCGCGGCGATGGCATTGTGGCCAACTTCATCAGGAGTAACCATCAAAGCATGTGCCTTCTCAAGCAGAAGCAGCGACAACGGCCAGCAGCTGCCGATGCGACAGGCTGTCAAAGCAGCAGAGAAGGTCCCCGCATCTGGCGATAGAAACCACGGCAACTCGACAAAAACCTGCAGTGCAGCGCGCCACTGCCTCGCACGTGTCAGCAGGCTGATGCCGCTGCTGTAGGGGATGATGTCCTGCTGCAACCTGCTGTGTCTAAGCTCGGCCAAGTACCATACGGCCTGCTGCCAACGTTGATGGCCACAGGCTTTGATCAGCCGGGAGAAGGTGACGACGTCCCGGCATCGAACGACCAAACTCTGACTCGCATCCGAAACCGTGCGAGCTTTCAGGGCAAATGCATCGGAGCTCGAGGCATACTTTACACATCCGCTGCATCTCTGGAAGCCTCTCCCCAAACGCATACATTTGATCGCTACACCAAAGGGCTGCAGACTTGATCGCCGCGCATCGATCCAGCTGGAATCGTGCAGCACAGGCCGAGTCTTGCTTGAGGGCGACGCATCTAGTACATGCACAAGGCGCGGCTCAATGGCAATCTGCCGGTAACGCGCAGCATAAGCATTTGCTCGACAAATCTCTTGAGCCAGTTGCACGTGGGAAGCTCTGAGCCTGGAAGAACCCTCAAGGCAAGCACTGCGCATTTTGCTCTCCGCTTCCGACTCGAGCGCTAGAGCCGCGGTCCGCCGCCCACCTTCGCCTCTAGCAAAGCTCAAAATGGATCTATCTGTCCTGAGGGTACCTGTTTTCGGTGGCCTTAAAGGGGCAACAAAGAGAAACAACACCAAACTTGAGGGTACCTTTTAATTTTAAGACAGAACCACATCTTCTCGGACAACTCACCGCGCACCTCCATGTCCGCGATGTGCATCGCTCGCGCTTCTGGGGATTGCCCCAACTTTGATCGGTGCATCCAATCTTGGAGAGTCTCACGCCTGCGAATAAACAGCTGCTATTCCACACGCGGCAAGCTCGCGGCCTTGAAGGCCATCACGCTGGCTTTGAAGTGACTCCTTCAAGATGTGGGCGTGTCTTTCTTGCAGGGACCCCCCCCCAAAAAAAAGGTGACCGTTTCCTTTTCCTTTTGGGTTTCCCTTTCAAGCCACAAGGAATGGGTATCATCGCAAGAAGACACACCCACGCGGCATGTTCAGAAAGCGTGAAAGCGCACCCCTCTCTGAGCATCAGGCGTGTCGCAGCCTGAACGAACTTTGTCGGTGAGCAACTCATCAAAGCGGAAGCCCGTCTGCGTTGGGACAGAAGCAGATCACTCCCAAAATGCTCAATTTCAGGCTTGGCCTCATTCTCAACAAGTCGCCGCGCGTCCTGACCAATTCGGACGATCAATTCACCAGCTCCGAATTAGATGCCAAAGCAGTCCTCTGAGCTTGCAGTCTCGGCTGGTCCCTTAGTCAGTTCCCATAGCACAACCACATACTTCGCAACACGGTGCCGCCTTGCACCTCTGGGAGCTCGGGCCCAGCTAAAAAGAAGCCCACCACCCGCGCGCACATGCCTTTCATGCCATGCAGGTCACCCTGTGCTGGATCACAGCATGCTCACTGGCCTCTTGATGGTGCGCAGCACCGGGACGGCCTGCAAGGCTCTGGTCTCACAAAACCGCCTAAATAACCAAACGTTGTGCGTTTGCTCCACGCAAAGGAGGCTTTTCGAGATTGAGCCTGCTCTGCTCCAAATGCAACTAGGTCAGTGCAAAGCACCCAATCCTAAGCAATCAGCAGAGCAAACGCCAGTGCTGTCTTACACATGCGTGGGCTCTGAGCTCCCTTCAAAGCTGCGCTTCAGGTCAATGTCCGCTGCTAGGTTGACCTTCAACAGGAGACATTGAAGCAGCAAGAATTTGAGCCGATGCCGGGCATGGTGCACGCAACTTCCGACTCGGAGCTTGGAGGTCCGGCCTCCTGAACTGCCCCACCGGTGATGTCTGCCACGGCCAGTGTTGCGTCAAAGGCCGCAGCCTGGCTGGGAACCCCAAACGTGGGTATGGGGAACCACAAGAAAGAGTGTCTACCCCAAAGGGCTCCCTCAACAAACACAGCCCCACATGGGACCTTGCGCTGAACATCAGTTTTACGAGGATGTCGACAAACTATTTTCGAGTTTTCGAGGGTGTTGCCCATCTCACATCATCTGACCTGCACATTGACTGGACGATAAACGGCCAAGAAGCCCCGCACACCCAACCTGCACAAGGCCAGTGTCATTGAGCCATGCGCTGTATTGCCTCGGTCAAGACTCAAAGGGCTATCTGACTCTGACTCGGCATTCTTGGCAACTCGCCCGCCGCCAGCGCCGAAATCTCCAACGGAGACTTTCGGGGCAGAGCCTGGACGCGAATCAATGCATCCTACACCACTGGTAGACATGGTAGGCCCATCCTAAGAAGACATTTGGCACATGCTTAAGGTTCCCTGCTACAAGTGGAAGCCGTTCTCCGAGGCCCCAGCCATAGCCCGGTCTCAGGCAATGCCGGAGGAAGCCCCGCATCAAGCCCTGCTCAAGGCCATGTTGCAGAGTCCAAGCAATCCATCCAGCCTTGTCCAGAGGCCAACCATTGAAGCTCTGACGGCGCAGGTACTCAAACGAAGAGTACACGCCTTCAGAGACCAGCTGCTAGCAAGATCTACTGGTTCCCTGCGCAAAGTGTGGGATTTCCACTTCAATGCAGCTTGAACAAAAGCAGTTCCAGAGGGACTTTCGCCACCGAAGTTGACTCCGAAACCAAGCTCCCAACCATTCTTCGTCAACCGGTGCTCCTCCCCCGCACTGTAATCCTGGGCTGGGATTTGTGTATCCAGACCTGCACCGGTCACCGATCAATCTGAATTTTGGAGGGTCAAAATCGTCCACAGGGCTTGCCCTTTCTTTATGATCCTTGCACATGTACGCTCTGAGCACTGCACGTATCTACCACCCAACTTCTGGGCATGCTGAGCATGCAGTATCTCCTGGTACACGATTCCTGCCATCTCTTTCCTTAAACATCATGACAACCAAGCAAAAGGACCTACCTTCTCCTAAGGTGCAAACGAGTGATAGTCCAGGAACTTGTGCACGGAGGAGACAAACATATTTCCAAAGATCAGATTTTCAGACCTCAGCAAATCTCTGCCGACATGCACGGAGTATCCATCATCCACTCGAGCAGCGCCCAAAGCCCATTTGTCGGTGGGTTTTACCCAAATGGCTTTAAACATTTAGAAAGGTCTTTTCTATAACCTCTATGACACCAAATAGAACCCAAAGCCATTTACATGGCCCCGTGGAGAATGGGTTTTGGGCACTCCCCGCGTCTTTGAGATCTCCACCAGCTTACGTTGGGAGGTGGCCCGCCCGGCTCATTCGCTGCCTCGACATCACCGTGACTGCAAATTCGAAGGAGCAGGAAAGAATCCACGCCTGGCCCTCGTCGTCCAGATCGCGCCAGGACGTGACCTGCAAAAGGATGACACAAGTTACGGGGTTGACCCTGGTGCAGCATTGTGCCGCTTTTTAAAGGGGATCACGAAACGCGCCCCTAGTTTGGACGCACCCCCAAGCTCAGCATTGCCCCAACTCGACTCGGTTGCGCCCCTTTTTGGATGTGTCAAGGCAAACCCAAAATAAACTAGCTTTAGAGACGGGTCCACTATTTCAGGAACACCCTTGTGAAGCTAGCTAGCCAAGAGGCATCGCCAAGAACACCAAAGGCCACGCTGTTCCACAGCAATGCTACATGATCTCCTTAGATTTCCAGTCTTGCCAAGAACAACACTGCCAATCTAAGGCTGGCTCCTAGTAAACGCTTCCAGGTAGTGATGGCTGTCATGAGAACCGTCCGGAGGTTTGCGGAGACGCAATGGGCATCATCAGGAACCTCTCAAGCTGACGCTTAAAGTACAGACTTCTGCCAAAGTCCACAAGCTCTGCCAGCTCAGTGTATGACAGCAAGCGTCTGCAAGCGGACGAGATACTGCCACACCTTTGCAAGTGCGCCCACAAGCTTGAGGGATGTGTATCCTTGTGCGTGGGTGTTAGCAAGCGCAAGCCCTTCACTCAACAAATTCCGGGCTCTACTTTGATTGCATCGCTCTCTGTGGGGAAACTGGCCAAGAAACCCTTCACTGCCCCGCCTTTCGCATCACACGGTCCTGGGTGTGGCTCAACAACCAGGCCCAACTGTGCTCCTGCCAGGCTCGCAAGCCAAACTCCGCAAGCTATGGTAGCGCTCTTGAGAGTGACTGTCATCCTTCCCTTCTCAACGCTCCTCTGGATATTTGTGAAGTGTCCAGTACAGGCCCGACGTGCCTGGCTGGCAGTGCTATTGCTGTCCAATACATGCCGTGGGAAATGATGCTCTTCTTTGATTGATGTTTGTTGGATATGTATGCATATATATATATATATGTGTATATATATACATATGTGAGCTCTCATTTAATGGTACGTATGTTTGGTGTCACCTTACTCTATTCTTCCAAGCTCAAGGTGGGCTCTCCACGTTTTGGGCGACCGGCTTTCGCCTGTGGCATTCAGATGCAGCTGATTCACCTCCTCTGCCAGAGCTTCAGACTCCTCACATACGTCAAACGAAACACCCAACTCTGTCATGGCTCGCCAACAAAAAAACAAATGGACAAAACACACAAGGGACGAGGTTCAGGCCGCCCCACATGAGGTTTGGGGCCTCCACACGTCTGATGCCCTGCAATCGAATCTCCTGTGACATCGCCATGATCCGCTCTGGGCAGCCCATGTCCTCAAGTTAGGACTCAAAGTTCTGACTTCCGTATTATGTTGGTCCACGGATTCGCGGGGGAAGAAACAAGAAGAAGAAAACAACTAGAGGACGGGTGGCCCGAAAGCACAAGCAGTGCAAGCGGCATCACTTCAGAGAAAACAATTTACAGTAAGGAATGTTCATAGGGTATGGGAAAACCGGTAGGGCATGAGACGATAGCGCGGCGGCGCATATCTTGCTTTGCATGCCTTCCTGTGCAAGCAAATGCACCGACTCAACGGAAGAACCCTGCGCGTCATACTTAAAATTTGTTCTTGCCTATCTTGCTTTGCATGCCTTCCTGTGCAAACATGGCCGCGACTGAGCGAAAAAACGCTTTGCGTCATACTCAAAAGTCACCACTTTTGGAGTGGACTTCGCGTACTCCTCCTGTTGCGACTTTCGAGCCGGAGCTCCGGGAGTGCACTTCGCGTACTACTTCCGGGAGTGCACTTCGCGTACTACTTCCGTACTTAAAAAAGTTGCGACTATCAAGCCGGAGCTCCGGAAGTGCACTTCGCGTACTACTTTCGAACTTAAAAGTTGCGACTTTCGAGCCGGAGCTCCGGGCGGAGCTCTGGGAGTACACTTCGCGTACTACTTCCGTACTTAACAGTTGCGACTTTCGAACGACAGCCCAGGAGTGCACTTCGCGCGCTACTTTCGTACTTAAAACCCGCTATGTCACGCGCAGGCGGACCAGGGAGAGGGAGGACTCGAGCCCGGGGCCGCTGGCTTCCCAGAGCAGGCGCGCAAAACGAGACAAACTTTCGGGCCCGCCTTGCGAACACTTTTGCCCAGCATTTTAGCGCATCGACGCGCTGCATCTCCGCAGAGGGTCGCGCGGGCGAAACACAGATGTGCACGGCACCACAGCGAGAGCGATCCGACACGCACGATCCCCGCAGAGACCTTCAAAAGTTGCAAAACATGGTGTGTTCTGAACATCGACCACGCCAATCCCCGCAGAGGGTCGCGCGAGCACCTTCAAAGTTGCAAAACATGGTGTGTTTTGAACATCGACCACGCCGTCGCGCGCGTGCCGTCAAAAGTTGCAAAACATGGTGTGTTTTGAACATCGACCACGCCGATCCCCGCAGAGGGTTTATTTTCGCAGGATGGCTCGTTCCCACCGCGCCGCCTAAAGAGAATAAATTTTACTTTCGTGTAAGAGTTGCGTGCGAGCGTGTCCTCGTGCAAGTTTGGCATGTCACTTATGCATGCAAGTCACTTGTGCATGTTCCTTGTGCATGTCACTTGTGCATGTCAATGTTCCTTGTCACTTGCATGTCAGTCACTTGTGCATGTCACTTGTGCATGTGCACTTGTGTCATGTTCATGTGTCACTTGTGCATGTCACTTGTGCATGTCACTTGTGCATGTCATGCATGTGTGTCATGCATGTCACTTGTGCATGTCACTTGTGCACTTGTGCATGTCACTTGTGCATGTCACTTGTGCATGTCACTTGTGCATGCTCCTTGTGCATGTCACTTGTGCATGCTCCTTGTGCATGTCACTTGTGCATGTCACTTGTGCATGTCACTTGTGCATGCTCCTTGTGCATGTCACTTGTGCATGCTCCTTGTGCATGTCACTTGTGCATGTCACTTGTGCATGTCACTTGTGCATGCTCCTTGTGCATGTCACTTGTGCATGCTCCTTGTGCATGTCACTTGTGCATGTCACTTGTGCATGTCACTTGTGCATGCTCCTTGTGCATGTCACTTGTGCATGCTCCTTGTGCATGTCACTTGTGCATGTCACTTATGCATGTCACTTGTGCATGTCACTTGTGCATGTCACTTGTGCATGTCACTTGTGCATGTCACTTGTGCATGTCACTTGTGCATGTTCCTTGTGCATGTCACTTGTGCGTGTCACTTGTGCATGTCACTTGTGCATGTCACTGGTGCATGTCACTTGTGCATGTCACTGTACATATCTTCCTGTCCATAGCACTGTACATATCTTCCTGTCCATACCACTGTACATATCTTCCTGTCCATACCGCTGTACATATCTTCCTGTCCAAATATTCCTCTCCATACTGCTGCGCATATCTTCCTGTCCATGCTGCTGCGCATGTCTTCCTGTGCATGTTGCAGCGCATGTCTTCCTGTGCATGTTGCTCTTGCATATCTTGCTGTGCATGTCTTCCTGTGCAAACATGGCCGCGATTCACCGGAAGAACCCTTCGCATGCTTTCGGGAAAAACGGCGGTTGATGCCCCCAAGAAAGAACCCCTCAGGTTTTTTGCCAATGTTTGGCCCTCCGTCGGCCTCTCCTGTGCCATGGAGCTATACTCCGCCAAAGGGAGGCGTTGCTCTGCACTCTTCTTGTCCTGCCCGCTCTCCGCAGAGCAATGGTGGGCATTATGTAGCTGGGGATTCATGTCTAAGCACTTTTCAGGCGGTTCCAACTCTTAAAGTTCATAGCTATTCTCCGGGGCACTTGCTCCACAGGGGGCCACCAGGCACATGATTTAGACGGTTCGGAGACGGGTTTGTCTCCGACAAGGTAAACGTCAAACAATTGGTGGCTCCCCCTTGAGTTCCCTACTCTCCAAAAAGGGCACACCAACTCCGAGAAAGACATACCCAAAAACATCCATGGGATTTGTTTGGAGGCTGTCCAGCTTGAAGAGCTCATAGTACAGCAGCCGAAAAAGTTTCTCCACCTTGCCGCCGGAACTCGAACCCCCCATGGGCTGTGTTATTTTGCTCGGCTTGGCACGCTTGGGGTTGGTTTGGGAAACCAAAAGGAAACCGAATCCAGTTGGGATCCCGGTCAATGGACAAAGCCCACGCCGATCGTCGCTCGGGCATGAAGCCCTAAGGCTGGGAAAGACTACTTACCGACTTCTCCAGGAGCTTGTCTTGATCCTAAACCATCTGAAAAATATGGGGCAAATCCATGCTGCAACTGCACAAAGGCATCATGCGACTCCAGCTTCAACACAATGTCATTGAACACGAGATCGTAAGTTGGGTGCTGGCTGCTTTGACAGATCCAGGGATGCTTGCCGATCTGAGTCTGAAGGCTCCTTGCGAGAATTCAAACAAACATGCTCCTTCCTTGAGGCAAGTCAAGGCATAAACGAGTCAAGTGCAGTCAAGTCACCGGAGGCACCAGATCTGGCATGCCAGAACCAGCGTAGTACCGACCTTCACGAAGCTGCAAAGCTCGCCTGCTTCTTACGTGCCAAAACCAAGGCATGTACCCGACTCGTCCACCATGGCGAGGCCCATCTGAATCTGAAGCCTCAGCAAGCACAACTTGCAGCTGCTGAATTCTGGGCACATGCCAGCAAGTTGCCATCCGCCCAGCCATATCCTAGATCAAGCACATCATCTCTTTACATTGGCATGAAAGAAGCAAAGCCTCCGCATCCTTCCAGTTGCGGGGCCCGCCACAGGTGGCCAGTTGCACAAACGCGTGGCTGCGTGGCTTGTCAATTCCATGCTTCCCCAGTTTGAGAGCTGTTGTCCATGCAGGGCTCGGTCCGCGTGCAGTCTTGAAAATGAAACTCGCATTGTCTGCTCTGTGACTCAACGGCTGTGATGCGAATGCCAGTGTGGGCGGCTTGCATACGGCTGAAAAGCCACAGCAAACTCATTTTCATGGCCGGGCTGTCATCAGCAGGGTTGGGCACTTTGAAGGGGACCAAAAGGAGGCTGTTTGAACAAATCGCAGTTTAAACAATACTTAAGAAGTGGGTTTGCCCAACCCTGGTCCCAGGCTGCAAGCACTGGCCGCTCCTTTGGAGCGGAGGAATAAAGACCCATGCTCGCAGCGTCTGACCTCATCCCCCTCAACCTCCTTGAGCTTTGCGAGGTCGCTAGTCCAAGCCCGGCTGTTCCATTGCTACACTCGAGACTATGGCCTCAAGATCGGCGAGTTGGCTTCAAGTCCGGCTCGATCGACCAACTCTGCTCCTTCTTGCCGACTGTTCAGCTCCGAGGCGCTTTCTCAAACCAGAGCTCTGGTTGCGCAACTGTCTGACTGGTGCCGCGACACAAAAGCCCGAGCGGCCAAGCGGCCAAGCGGCCAAGCGGCCAAGCGGCCAAGCGGCCAAGCGGCCAAGCGGCCAAGCGGCCAAGCGGCCAAGCGGCCAAGCGGCCAAGCGCCGAGCGCCTCCCATCTCAGTCCGAGCGATTCGTCACACTTTGGAGCTGGGCCAACTTCCAGGGATGCCTTACCGTGACAAAGTCCTCCATGAAGAGTCCGAAACTCCTAGCACCGATCAACAGGAGCAAAGGCTGTCCACAAAGGGGCCTGCTTGGCTGTTTGTTGCCAAGTTAGTAAGTTGTTAGTAACCTAGGTTTATGAGCCAATAATAGTGGGTTATAACCCACCAAACATCCAAGTAGATCGACACCAAAACATCTGCCGAGCAATGCCAGGGGTCTCAGGTACTCCAGTGTACTTCTCTCCATTGACGCTCCAGTAGGCGAAGTCCACGTCGCGCTCCTGCAGGTATCTGATCATATGGTGCCACCATAAGGATTCCTGGTTTTCTCCAAACTCTCCGAGCCACACAGGTACGGGAGAGGGTGCGGACAACAAGAAGCCCCACTTGAAGTCAAGCTCTTGCTCGAAGGCCTGGTAGCGCCCGAACTCCACCCAAACATAGCCCAGAGCGCCAAACGTGATGAGGATGACAATCGCCAAGAAGCAGGTCATGGACCGACATCGCTTGGCATGCCGCTGGGGCTGGAAGCTGCAGTGATTATCTCGGCGGGGCGACTCGCCTCGCAGGGCGACCGCAGCCGACATCTCCAGTTGCAGGGCCTCTGATCGCTCCATGCGACCAGCGATGACCAGGAAGGCAGCTCTCATCCACAGCACCGCACTCACGAGTGCACAAATGGGAGTCAGAAAGCCACAAGTGATGGCCACTAAGAAGCCGTTGAAATCGCAAGACTGTAAGAAGCGCGGAAGAATCTTCAGACTCAGCGCGAAGAGGGCCGCCAGCAACGCGGCCACTGAGAACTCCCAGCAGGGCTCGATTTCTCGGAACACCGAGCATCTCGAGCTGCAGCGCTCACACCTGAATGCTCTGCATCGACATCTGCATCTCTGGCATCTCTGCCCTTAGCATGCGGCAAAAATTGCTGCTGCGGGAGCCTCTGTTGTTTCTTTCCGCACGTTGACATCTCTGTACTGGCTTCTCTGTCGTGTCTTTGCTCTGCGCTTTGCTCTGCTTGAGGTTGCTTCCCATGCATGGGCTGCCTTGTGGCTTAATAGAGGCTAGAAAAACTTGAAACCCTTAACCCTAACCCTTTGGGGTTCAAGCTTCTTCTAGTAGGCCCTAGTAACGCACTGACCGCCGCATGTCTCTGTCTCTGTGTCTATATGCTTTCCATGTGTTTTGCGCTGTTTTTAACTCTCTCTCTCTCTCTGTCTCTCTCTGCGTCTCTCTGCCTCTCTGAGATCCAAACCAACGCATCGCTGCCGACACAACCTGACAGCGAAGCTGACAATGTGACAAGTAGAGCACTGGCGTGGCGAATCACTTAGACAGGCACCAGCTCATTGGGAACGCAGCCGCAACAATCACCATGTACACCCTGAGCCACATCAAGCACATGATATGCATCACCAGCAATCCTAGGGAGCAAGCTCGATACTCTTTCTGGCCGCCAAGTGAAAGTTGAACCAATTGTACCTCCGGCATGTTAGTATCGGGGTGTGTCCTTTTCTAGGGGACCCCCAAACTTGTAGTGGTTCCTTTTGTTGTTCCTTTAAAACCTCGAAAAAGGGGTACAGTCAAAGAAAAACGCACCCATGTCAGTACCAGTTCCCAACTGATACAGCTTCTGCTTGCAGCGCACTCGTGAGCTGTGTACACAGTGCGCCCCAGCAAAGGGACCTGCCAATGAGCTGGTGCTTCTCTATGAGGGCATGTGAGCCATGTTCAAAACTCTTATATGGCCCATGATGGTTCTCCGAACAGGAATCATGATAACGGTTAATGATCCTTACCGCCAGGTGGATGACTCGATGACCATCCCTTTTAACCCCAGGCACATGTATCGCGTGTTGGCTTTGGCCCGCCTCCGTGTGCACTGGATAAGTGGGAACCTGCAGCTCTGAAGCTTCAAATCTGGGAAATCCGTCGATGTCCAAAACCGCAATATCATATCTGTGCACACCAAATCACAAGCAGATCCTGGCACAGGAAAATGCTGAAGTACAGCCCGGAGATGATGATGAGCATATTTGCCTTGTTCATTTGCTTGTAAGTGAGAACAATCAGTTTGCATGCTTCTTTGCTCAAGGCAACGCATGCAGCACTTTTGACCTGGGAGTGTCCCTTGAGCTTTTGAGCCCTGCGCGTTGGAATCCAGTACTCTCTGTGCGCCACTTACAGCCGCTTTGGCCCTGATCAGCAGGGAACAGCCAGTGACCCAAATAGACTGGCCCAGGGTGGCCCATCAAAGTCAGTCACCCCCAAGTGGCAAACGGAAACAACCCAAGTGTGGCTTTTCGGGGACCCCTCTTCAGTGGTGGTTTTTTCGTTCTGGGCAATTCGACCCAAAAAAAACGAGCCACCGAGGCTTGTCTGTGTCTAAGAGGTTCATTCAGCCGCCGAGCGAAGCGCGATTCGCGAAGCCCTGTGAAGGCGCACCAGTCTGTCTTCCCGCCGGTTCCCCAGTGAGGCCACATGAGGCCTGCCGGCTCCCCAACTCTCGGCGTTGGCATGCCTTTGTGGTTTTTAAAGGGAACCAAAGTGAAAATTCTGAAATCCATACTGGGGGGTTTTGAAAAGAAGACACACGCACCTCTTTCAACCTCTCTTTCCGTGCCCGTCTGCTTCTCTCAAGCCCACCTGAAGGGCGGATCTCATTCCGAAGGTCAAAGCCCATGACCTTCAGGCTTTGCGGCGAGATGCTTTCCTGTTAAACCAACCTCCTGGACTGGGAGAAAATCAATTAGAACCGGATCCGTCCCTGGCATCGACTCGGGTCATGAGACCCGCTGCCCGCGACTTGCTCACGTGCATTGCTTGGGGCTGGCACGCGAATGGTCATTGGCGCTTGGTGAGGGAAGATCTTGGGTTGGCTTGGGGTTGGCTCGAGCTGGATTGGAGGGCTGGCTTGGGTCTGTGCAAGCAACATTTGGGTTGCTTTCGGGTTGCTTTAGGACCGATTGGTTGTTGGGTTTGGGGCTAGATCTAAAGCAACCACCCACAACTGCAGAGCCAGCCTCAAACCCGTTGCCTGCACACACCCCTCCAACCCAGACCCCACGCCAACCCTAGATCTTCCCTCACCAATGACGCCAGCCCCAAGCAATGTACGCAGTCCTTCATCTGCCCGTCCGTCCAACAAACCAACCAACCAACCCACCTTCCCAGCCTGAGCCGGTGCTACCGGCCCAAGCCGGTGCTGAGCAACACAAAAACCCACAAAAGGTACCCTAATCCCCCCCCAAAAAAAAAAACAAAAAACGACCGACGATGCTGCAGACCAAGTTTGAGCCCGCGGCCAGGGGATTGTCCTGGTAGCGCTTGGCCATGAAGCCTCAGCTTCATTCGTGGTGCCTTCGTGCCTTCCCAGTGCCTCCATCCAGTTGGGTGGGTCATTTTTTGAGACCCCCTTAAATTGTGGGGGGCCCTTCGGCTTCCCGTTAAAAAAAAAAGGAAAAAACATGCCAAAAAGGTAGCCACAAAACGGACAGACCTCGGATGTTGTTTGAGGGCACCGTGCTCAAACGGGATTTCAAAACGGAAACTGCTCCATTTCGGAGGGTTGCCTATTTAGACACATCCCATTTAAGCTGGCTCCGTGTCCCAGCTCAGCATCCAGCCCATCGCGTCCAGCCATGCATCCTCTGGATACTTGGCAGTGTACCACAGGCCTTCGCCATCAGAGCTACTGCAGCACCTGGGACATGTTGGCACGGTATGCGTGGGCTCCGAAACGGTTGCTTTGGCTTGCGCTTTTTGCGCGAAGTGTGGTGACAAACATGTCTAGTGGGCTCATTCGGCGCTATTTTCTTTGTGGCTCAAAAAGTAAAGCGTTAGACGATATCAACCACTTCATGCTAGAACATGATACGCCCCAGAACAACAAAGTATTCGCAAATGGAGCTGCAAGTCAGTTGTCCAGCCAGCAGTACATTGGAGAGCATCAAGCAATGCTGAGCTGCAAACCACATTCTGGTAGAGATGTGGTTGTTGAGGATGACCTGGCCATGTCTTGTGACAGGCATGCAGCATGCACTCAATTGGAAGCCACCATGACACCGTGCTTGGTGAGCTCCAGCACAGTTGCGTCAAATATCTCGAGAGGAGAACTGTCCTGCAGGCAACAAGCCGAGAAAGCGCACCACTCACCGACTTGAATCGAATCCAGCACCCCCACATGCGGCATGTATTCATGTCGCCAGATCTCGTATCACAAATTCAGCAAAGTGCGGCTCCGCAATGGTAAACTGACTTGTCTCTGCGTGAGTCCAACGCAGAGGTTCTTAAACAGCTAAGCCGTGCTGTCGGCTGTGCTGTTCCTTCAGGGTGGGCCGCCTGTTGGATAAAACATGCTCACTGATTTTCAAGCTTGTTCCAAATGGGTGTGTTGTTTTTTTTGGGGAACTAACCACCCCCTTTTGAAGTTGTTTTAGAGGAATCCCAAGAGGACGCCAACCATTTGAGGGCATGACCTTGCCCCCTCCTGCAGCTCTGGACAGGCGGCTAAGGAGACCTGATTCAGCTTCCATCAAGCGATGGTCAGAAGCTCCAAGCGCCAAAGGCCTTCGGCTGTGGCACGGTGAAGTTGCCCAGCATGTCCAGGCTAAACGGCAGCCGAACGCCTGGGCCAAAAGAAGCATTTTCGGGATTGCGTAATTTCAGGATACCGTTTTAAGGTTGGTTTAAAGAGAAACCAAAAGGAAACCAAGCATTTGGGGGGTCCCCCTATTTTTACACAACCCCATATGGAAATGCTGTGCTCACAGATTGAGCTCAGCACAATTGAAGCTGGATGCTGTTATCGTCTTGGCAATATCTCCTTTCCGACAAGAATGGTACTGAGCATATTGCTTGGGCGGGCAGCAAAGAGTCGTTCAACAAATGCTTGCTGGGGTTGGCAGACCATTTTTCTGCGATGTGATCCCATGACATGCGATTCTGGTAGCCTCGTTACAAGCAGGCCTGGTGATCGGTAATTCATCCCATTTGCCACCATCTGTGGCAAATGCGCCCCATACCTACAGGTCACACACCATGTGCAGGTGCGCATGGTGGAAAACGCATTCTTAATGCTGGACCCGCACATCACCAGCAAAGAAGCTGAGCAAAGGTCCAGTTGACACAATGAAGTCGTACTCGCGTTCCATTTGCGTCAACAATGAAGCCTGCCATGCTGCTCTGGATATTCCTTGACCCTTCAGCAGTACTCCTATCAATCAGAGCTGGCGCACGCCCGCTGGTGCGCAAGGGGAACGCCGGCAACTTCCTTTGGTACTCCTGTCACTGCACCAAGCCATCGCAACCAGACGACCGTGTTCAATCAAAGACACGAGAAAAAGACGAGCGTGGGCCTCAGCTGCCAAAGCAATGCCTGCCGACCGGTGGTATCATTGGTATGAGCCATTGTCGCTATGCATTCTGCGCCCCAACATTGGTTTTGGTGAGCGACCGCCATTTCCTAGTGGCAACATGTTGAGTCCCCTCTCATTCCCCTTACTACAGTAAGTTACGGTGAACATTCACCGTTGCTGTGATCGAAAGAACCTGCCGGCCTGCAACGGAGAGAAGCGCGCATCGCAAGGCCGCCATGGCCGATATGCCAATCTTGGCTTAGCTTCAGCCTGAAGCACCCCCTGTGTCAGCTATTTAAGCAGCTGAGTTGAAGGCATGTTGGGATTGGACCTTCCTTATTGCCTCTTGCTTCGTTTTTTGGTGTGGATAAGGAAGCATGGCCAAATGTGTTCCTCACTCAAAAAACGTGGCATACATATTGGCTCATTTAATTACGGCTCCTTTAAAGAGCTTCGAGCCAGAAACTGTACAAGCGGCGCCTCTCTCCAGAATTTGTATCTCGGATGCTTCTCAAAATGAGGAATGGAATCCCCAAGAATTATCTGAAATGGGGGATTGTGTCTGTTTGGCTCGCCTAGACCATCCAGAGAAACACCAACCGATCGCTCTTGCGATTCAGCCCCGGCCTGAGTGCAAAAGGCTCTGCGGGACCCATGCCTGCCATTGACATGGGCGAGCACAAACTGCCTAGCCAGCTTCACGTGGGCGTATCTTTTTTGAGGGGTACTCGTTCTCGGGTGGCGTTAAAAGAGAAAACAAAAGGAAAACCTCCATAACGTGGGTTCCCGAACAAAAGGACGCACCCATGTTGACCCGACCAAACGATCAACTCTGCTCGTTCAGGTATCGCTGAACTGGAACGCCGCCAACGTGCCAGTGCCACCCTCACCAAGCAAAGAAGGCGGCAATGGTGTCTGCAGCTAAAGCGGTGCGACAAAACGAGCTTTTGGAGTACTGCACAAGCGAGCGCTTGCCGGTACAGCGTCTCATGCCGTGTAAATGCCGAGTGTAGTTCCGTTTTGATGGTGATGTTCCGTGCAATCCTCAAACATGTTGAGCTTGAGTCGTACTGACTGCCCCGGCGATAACTCATGGTAGTGCACAAGGCTTGGTGCTCACCCAACTCAAGTCGTGCAGGATCTTCCAACCCTGCAACTTTAGGCAAAGCGCACATGACCAAATCTTGCCACTGACAGTCAATGATCAAACAGATTCTGCACGATATTTCTCCTGAGCACTGGCCGGAACGGATCAGAACGGCAGCAAGGAGCCTTTGCCTCGGCTCCAAGTTGCCGCTGCTGGGGTTTGGTCAAAAGATCCTTCCCACTAAATGTGAAAAGTGACCCATGGTCATTTGGGGGGCCAGAAAATGTTGATCGACCCCTAGCACGCCCTCTGAGACGGCGACTTGCGCACTTGCAGCATCCCTTTCCAAGCCTGAGGCGTGAAGCGATCCCAAACGCCAAAGAAGATGCACGGCAGGCGAGCCGCCTCCATGCCATGTTCGTCAGGAATCCGAGTGCTCGCCTGGCGCTATGCAATCAGCTGAGTTGGTGTACTCAAACACCGTCGCATCGCTGGCGCAGGGAACCATCCGTGCATGCGCTTGCTTCCCTCGGAGGGATCATTCGGCTCGGAAGGGCGCCTTCCGCCCGGGATGTACGAAACGAGAAACCACCTTCAGTCTACATGCACAACTTCTGCATGGCATGGCTCTTCCAAACATCGGGGCAGATTCGGACGGTTCAAGGGAAACCCCAAGGAAATGAACCTATTTTGGGCCACTCATTCACCATGGAAGCTGTGGTCCGGACACGAGCGTGCTGACCTTCCAAGCCGCGAAAGGCGAAGAATCTCTTCACTCAAGCGAAAGGCCTGGATGGCCGAGAACAGCATGGCTAACAGGTACGATCTGGCCGAAATCTAGAGAAGTGTCGCAACCCGGGGGAGGCTCAGAATGTGGTTGTGTCCTTTTTCGAGGGTGCCCTTTTTGTATGGCAAAGGGAAGCCAAACGAAAACATCCATGTTGGGAGGTTCCAATTCCTATTTTGAGACACACGGTCTTAGAATTGGTTGCAAACGAAGGGTTCATGAGACCTAAAAGACAGTGTTGAGCCATCGCCTGTAGATCAATGATGCCCACAGAGTTCCCACCTCACGTCTCAGAGTCTCAGAGCGGGCCGCGAGCCTACGTCAATCGGGCCCCACACCATGGACGTGGCATAGGTGAGGGTGAACACAAGCCGACTGCGTGAAAGCAGGTGCCTCAGGCCAGCAAAAGCATTCCCTATCCAACTCCATTGCGTTTCACTGGCCTCAGAAAGGCAGAATGACCCTTGAGAGCTGAAAAGCTCCCCAGGAAGCAAAGTGAACCTGGGGCGATTTGCTACACTGGCAAAGGCACAAACAGCTGAATGCCTGTGCTTCGTGTCTCTGGCAAAGTCGTCTTGGCAACTGGCCAAGTGTAAATAGTAAGGCAAATTTCTGCGGCACCAGCACCACCATTGGCCTGTGAGCCGTTCTCTTGCCCACAGCTCAGAGAAAACACAAGCTCGATCAACCACGCTCAGGCAGTGTCAAAAAGAAGAAAGCTAGGCCTCGGCTCACACAGATAACGTGGTCAGTCGGGCAACATCCTACAGAGCACCCCTGAGGGGCATACTCATCAGAAAGCAGCCCAGCAAGGCTCCGCCAAAGAACATCATCCACCTCAGGCTTTGGGCCGTGCAAGGCCCCAAAAAGAGTTGGATGGCCTCTCTTTAGATATTGCATTCTCAGAGATGGTAGTCGATGCTTGCTTTGCAAGACCCTGGGCATTTCGAGAAACACTCGCAGTACAGCAACACTTCGACCCGTTCCATGTGGAGGGGGTACTGACAACGGTGGACACACTTCTTTGGTGGTTAAAGGGAAATTAAAGGGAACATTGTGATTTCTCCGCGGGCCGGCTAATTTGGAGAAACCTCCATGTGGGCTCGTCTCAAAGTAACAGGTTGTCATTCTGTTGTTTGGTTTCCCTGAAAGAAACACCACACCAAGGGAGGATAACACGCACAAAACCAAAAACAGCAGAGACCTCGGAGAGGAGCGGTCCTTGGCTTTCCCCGTCAGGTCCGTGAAGTTCTGCTGCAATCCCTGGAGGGCGCCCAGTTTACCCTTCGGCTTTTGGTTCTGCATGGCTATGATCGGGAGCACATGTTGGCAAGAGGGTGGCTCAAAATGGTTATGCAGATTCATGAAGCCCATACTCACTTTAGGAAACCAGCATGAATCACCTTGAAACTGGTAAAATGGCCAACAGGATTCGATTTCGGCACATTGACGACCATGGCCTGCTGTGCATTGGATGCTGCTTTGGACAGAGCGTTCAGATCTCCAGCCTCAGCTTCGAGCTGAAACTCAGTGCAGGTCCTCATTTTCCTGCTCAAAATGAGAAACCGTTTCCATTTTTAGGGGATCCCTATTTTCCCTGGTCTAAGCTCGCGGACCATTTTCGATATAATTGTTCAGAGTTATTAGGAATTGTGTCGAAGAAAGGGTTCTGCCTTTGTCTTTCGATGGTGGTTATGGAGAAGCCAAAGGGAGTTCAGCTTCCCTCCACGTGATTTGGTTTCGCGTGTTGTTTTCGGTGTTCCAAGGGCGTTAACCAGACCAACAATCCAAACCAGCAAATAAGGGCAACTTGGGTGTTCGGCCAAATTGGCAAGTTGTTAGCAACCTAGGTTCTGACCTACTTAAAGTTCCCCAAAGTGGAGTCAACCCTGTTCTTAGTGGGTTGTAACCCAAGTGGCCAACCACTTACTAACTTGGGCGAATATCCAAGAACCTGTGGTGAGACATAAACTGTCTTGGGCCCTCGAGCACTAGCCGCTGCAGCGGCCTCCGCCATGCTCGGAAGCGCACTGCTTAGCTTTGAAAACCACCTGGCACGCATTGCAAATAGGACTGTCTTCTTTTGAGGGTATCCAGCATCAATTTGGAGGGTCCCCGAAAAAAGGCCCCAAAATGGCTGTGATTGTGATTTCTGGGTCTGGGTCCGAAATGGACAGAATTCTTCTCCCGGTTCATGTCCAACCAGGTTCCAACTCTGAAATTCAAAGCCAAACAAACCTTCGGTGGTTTTGCATGTTCATTCACACCCCTTCTGCTTGACTGACTTCGAAGACAGGCTAGGAGGGCGAGCCAGACGGAGCTTGAGCCTCCACATCTGAAACCTGCGAGAGCTACGAGTTGATTCCTATATCCCTGAGGGGACCCTTGAAAAAACCGCTTCCCTTTGCATCACCCCACTTTTGGGTACCCTGAAAAAGATAAAACCGACCAAAAAGAACAAGCCAGTAGAATTCGGGGGTTCCCTTGTTCCCATGCAATTCTTAGGGAATGAGTCCATCAAGAAGCTGCATCTCTCACCCTCCCGAGCCTCCTCCGGCCCATTCGCAGCTGGGCCTCGGCCTTGCCATGGGCCAAAAAAACAACTGAGCTCCACAAACAAACTTCCCTCTGGAACAAACAAATCTTCCCCCTGCGACAAGTTGCAACTTCCCAGTGGAACAACTCAAAACTGCCACTTTTGGAGGTAAAACACATGGAAATGGAGGGGGAACCCGGAGAAAAGAAACGGCATCATACACACCTTTGCCCGAGGATGTGGCTCCCCTTGACCTTGCTGGTGAAATCATCGATGGCACGAGAGCTGCTACGCATCGAGGCGGCCAGCGCCTCGAAAGAGAACATCTGCGCTAAGCATCTGCAACTTCAAGCACAACCTAACGACCTGAGCCACTCGCAATCCATGTGCCAGCACTCTACGTGTAAAACTATGTGGATGCTTGAAATTTGCTTGGCCATATTTCGATTGCTGGCTACATCTCAAAATGTT